TGAGAAAAAAACACAGGATGAAATAACATTTATCTCCTTCCAAAAGAATATAAAAATACTATCAGGGATTCAAAAATATTGGTTAACGAAAACAAACAGCAACAAAAGCCATTAGCACATAAGGAAAACTAATGGAAAGGGTTTGAAAACTTTAAATTTTAATGATAAGGATAAAATAAATGGTAAAGTGAATAGTACCAGGATTGACTTTTTAGTGTAAAAATGTAGTTTTTCATTAAAGTCAACAGTACGTTAAAACTTCCTTAGACATAAGGTAAAGTACCAAAAACTTGATCCAAGAAAAAAGAATTATTTACCTCTACGGCTCATGGTAAACTTGATCCAAGAAAAAAGAATCATTTACGTCTACGACTCTAACCATGTGACGGGGGAAACTTCCTCTTTCCCATTTAAATGGTGGATTGAATACCAAACATGCTTCTTTCCAAAGAGAAGTGCCTGAAGAAGATGAAAAAAAAAATACAATTCAAAATACATCAAAAGAAGTAATAAAGTGGATAAGAATGGCAAGGCATGAAAATTGAACACGATGAATTACTGGTACGATTAAATTTTTTATCTTCAGCTCTCCGACTAATTTGATATAGCACAACAATTAACCGTTCGAAAGAATTGTGTAAAACATTATTGATTTTCTGAATTTGGTAGACATACAATATCTCTTTGCTTCAGTAGTTGAAAAGAGAAATGGAGAAAGCGTGAATGTGTATATAAAAAGTTGAACGTTATGGGAGACGAAGAAATAACTTTACAGCTAGCAAACTATTAGAAATCCTATTTTCAAACTCACTTACGTTAAGATTAAACAACGTAAGAGAAAAAGGGTACGTGGTTATCTTGAAATAATAGGGTTTAGCTTTCTGCTAATCAAACCTCTTAATCGGGAGAAAGATAAACAGTTGCTAAATAATTTTCTTGCAGGTCTTAATGTTGCTGTGGATACATTCCCTCCTATTGCTTTGCTGGATCTCTCTACTTGAATTTGAAGCCTAAGGAGCCAATAAGGAGGTTTAAAATGCATGTCGATCTCAAGATTCCAGTTTAACTTATATAGTTTTACTTTTGTGTTCATAATTTGGATAACAGAAAGGGAGGGGATGGATTGCTGGTTTCTCAAATCCAATGGTGGTGAACACCCTTGTTGGTGTTAATCCACTCTAGAAATGCTAGCAGTGTTCTTGTTCATCCTCGTCTTACGGTCTTAACATGGAATTTTTACGCCCGAATCTTGAATGGTTTCAAGAACTTGAAGCCCTCCAAATCGCTAGCATTGAGTTCGTGAGTTCTTAAACCCAAAAACTTTCTATTTTTGGACACAACAAGAACTGCATCATGTTTCTTGCTTCAATTGTGCCTCGTTAGATGGAAACTCAAGTACTTAAAGGTGGCAACCCGGTTCAGTTTGCTAGCAGAAATTTGTCTGGCTTTTCTTCTCTTCCCCATAGTAAGAGGGTTGGCCTTGTTTCAGGTTCTTGGCATCCAGTTTGAAGCTTCAATCAGATATCATACATGGCTCGGAACTGCAATGCTATTTTTTGCCACTTTCCATGGTGCAAGCACCTTGTTCATTTGGGGGGCCGGCCACTATATACAAGAAGAGGTAAATTTTGTCAATGTTTTAGAGAGAGGTCCAGCAATCCACTATTTCAAACACTAATATTATCACCAACTTTTTATGATCTTTTTGGTGCTTACCTGTGGTGGGTTATAAATTGGTGTTATTAGTAGTGGAACCACTCATGTACATATGCATTTTAATTTGTCAAACTATCTGATGTGGCTTTTACATCCTTCAATCCTAGGCCTTTTTATGATCTTTCCGGTGCTTCACTGTTTAGTTTTACTGATGTTTTCGGTGTAATTCATTCAACTACAGACATGGAAGTGGCAGAACACCGGGCGGATATAACTTGCCGGGGAGATTTGTCGAGTTACAGGGCTAGTAATTTGGATCACATCACTTCCTCAAATAAGGAGAAAACAGTTTGAGATATTTTACTGCACACACCATCTATACATGGTTTCCTAGTGTTGTTCTTGTTTCATGCTGGAGACCGCCACTTCTACGCAAATTTCCCAGGAATTTTTCTTTTTGGCCACGACAAGCTGCTTCGAATCATGCAATCTAAACCCTAGTGCATTCTTTTCGTCCGGATCTTCCCCTCCAATGCTATAGAGCTTATCCTGCCAAAAGATGCAGGTAACTTTTCTCGACTCTGATCAGAAACCAGAAATTTGCATGAAAGTTTGGAGTATTCATATGAAACATTCACTTGTAATCAGGGATGGAGCCAGAAATTTCTTCTAGCAAGGGCAACCGAAAACAACTAAGAAAACCTTATTATAATATGGTTATACACAATATGATATTAAGGATGGTTTCAAATGATGATGTATCACAATTCCAATGTCACAAAAATTTCAATATAGTAGTGGAAAGTGGCAAATTGATGAGAAAAATATAAGTACATGATAGGCGAGAGAGGGTTTTTTCGGTTTGAATGACAGAACAAGAGCACTATTACTCATATAATATTTGATACAGAGTATAAGTAGAATGAATGAATGAATGTATGTTGGATATTAGATACATATATTTTCTTCAAAGATAACCCGTGTATATTATATAATTGTAATCTGCAACTAAACAAACGAATTACTTAAGTAGGGACATCTGCCCCCAGTGAGCCTTCATTGGCTCCGTCCATGCTTGTAATTACTTGCAGGACTCAAGTATGCACCAACAAGTGTCATATTTGTGAAGGTACCAATTATATCCAAGTATCAATGGCACTCATTCAGCATTATTTCCAGCTCTAGGGTCGATGAGAACACAATGTCGATTTAATCAAATCCGAAGGTTCCTGGACTAGTTCTCTCTCAAATATGATCCAAACTAGGCAAGAAACGTACAGCGATCGGTTGAAGTACATACCTATTGCAGTAGAAGGCCGGCCCCCTATGGACTTGTCTCCATGGACTCCTTTAGGTACATAAAAATTTCACTTTTCATGATAGTTTACTTTCTTCAAACTCTCTCATTGATCACCAAATTATAGACAAAATTTGATTCACACGAATGTGAGATCTTTGTGCAGATATGACAGCCTAATGCTTGTTGCTGGAGGAATTGGGATAACCTCATTTCTGAGCATCTTGCAAGAACGTGGTTCGTTTGAAAACAGTCGGCGTACATATATTTCTGCCAACAATTGAACTTATTATGTTGTAGAGAAGTCCGAAGACATTTGTCTATTAAACTCAATCTCAACCTTAATATTCAACCAGCCAGCCGAAAAGTGCCGTCTGAAAGTTTAAATATTTGTGACACAAGAGCAGTATGGTACAACAGTAAGAGAACTACTAAGCGAGTCTTCACAAGTGAAAACAGTACAGGTTGGTACAAAGTTCTTGAATTATTCAATCAGTGGACTCGAAAGCTCGGCTTGGATGGCTGCCATAGCCAGAATCTCCTCCATCCTGCTTCTGAACATTCTTACCATTTCCAATCACATTTGTGTTCCCTCTCAAAAAATGGCCTCCAAAGCAACGAAAGAGATCGGCTTATCCTATCTTCTTTCATTGTAAAAATAACATGCAGCATTTTGGTAGCAGATGGAGAAGGATACAGAAATTGATTCTTGATTCTTCTTATCCTCCAAAAACATGGGAAAGACTTGGAAAAAATTGTTCAATACAAGCAAGTGATGCAGCTCTTGAGCAACATGAAACCCATTTTGGACGCAGGCCAAACTTTAATGGTACTTTACCCTTGTAATCTTTAACGAACTTGACTCTTTACAATTACGGTTAAATAGTCATCTCTTGTTACATGCAAATCACATCCTGACACATATATTGAACTGACATTCAAAACACAAAAAGACGTTCACGCACTCATGTCAAACTGTGATTTGTACCCGCTACCTGTATTTTCCATCTTTAACGACTTTCTTGTTATGAGTACATATCTTTGCAAAGTTTTCAGATGAGACGGGTAGATCTGATATTGGAATGATGGTGTGTGGACGTGAGAATATGAAAGAATAAGTCGCAACAGAATGCTAGCAGAAGATGGGTGCTCCCTCAATTTCACCCTATCGGTGTAATTGTAAAACAAAAGAACAAATAAACTTAATCCGCTCTTGCATATAAGTTTTACATGTGAATTTTAAAAAAAAATTACATTTGTTAATCAAAAAACAAATCTCAACCGAAGTTGTTAAATTGTACCATAATTACAATTTGTTCAAAGACGCCTTTCACCAACTTTGCGTTAAAAACCCCAATAAAATGTTGAAAACTTCTTATTTTGGTTCTAATAGAATTTGGAGGAAGTTGCAAATCTAATGTGCTAGACAAAGGTGATCCCACTAGTTGCGTATGAGATTATGTTTTGTGCCTTAACCGTTGTAGCCTTGACTCATTTTCTTTTTGGGGAAGTTGAAGAAGCAAAAAAATCATTTTAGTGTACCCCAATATCTTAATTAGCAAACATATATATTTTCGTACTAATTTTATTACATGAAAGATTATCGTGGTAAAAGTAAGAACAGTGAGTCGAACATAGACGAGGGCTTTTAATTTGTTTTGAGGTGCATAACTTAAAATATGAGTTTTCAATGCAATTTGCACCTTTTGCAAATTGAATCCTTATGAATTTGACGCAGGAGACTTCAAGAACACATTTATCCGACTCACATGTGTTTGAATCATTTAGGTTTTGTGATGAGAGTGAGCTAGGTCTAAGTTAATATTTAGGCCTTGGTTTCTTCACAAAAGAAAATTAAAGACGCAAAATAAAAAACGAAAGTGTAAAATAGTGTATCTTATTTTGCTCTTTGATATGGTTACCGACGTTGAGAATAAATTCCGTTATTCTATATTACTGTCAGCAATTAGTACTTGACCATACAGACACATAATATAAATCTAAATCGGCCGAAAGTCAAAACTTCAAGTTTAAATGTAGAAAAACATCTCAAAATCTCCCATGGTACAACGTGTAAATCGACCGACCGAAAGTCAAAACGTTGAATTTCAAAGTGAAAAAAATTGAAACCTCGTAACATTTTACAACAAACACCCAACCCCATCCACAGATTGAAATGCAAAATCAAATTGTTGTATGCCTCACAATTTTTTTTTTTAATTTCTTGAAAAATAATATAAAAAATGTAATTGAAAGGTAAAAAAAAAAAAAAAAAACAAACATATTCACACTAAAGGCTGCTGGAGTTCGGGTGGCGCCACTTCCATGGACAAATCATCACTACCGCCATCTCCGCCGCCAATGCTACTATCACCCCTTGCCAATTCAGACAACAAATGGGCGGGTGCGGTGGCGGACGCGGCCTCACCAACCAAAACCGCCACAATTTCCCTCATGCTAGGCCTTCTCTGTGGATCAGGATGGCAACAAGCCAGCCCAAGCTTCAAGGCAATCTCCATCTCCGCCGCCTCATACTCCCCGTTTATTCTCGGGTCCGCCGCCTCCCCCACCCTCCCTCTAAAATACAACTTCCTCACCCAATCAACCAACACCACCTCATCCTCCGCCGCCTCCATCTCAATTGGCTTCCTCCCACACGCCACCTCCAACAACACCACTCCAAAACTATAAACATCACTCGCCGCCGTCGGCGCTGCCACAGTCGCCAGCTCCGGCGCCAAATACCCGAACGTTCCGACGACACGCGTCGTGTGGGGCACTTCCCCGTGCTGGTAGAGCTTAGCCAGCCCGAAATCTCCAAGCCGCCCTCTCATCTCCGCGTCCAACAAAATGTTGCTCGACTTAATGTCCCTGTGAATCACCATCTGGTCCCACCCGTGGTGGAGGTAATTCAACCCCTCCGCCACATCCGCCAGCACGCGCCGCCGCCTCTCCCAATCCAAAACCGTCTCGGGCTTGTCGAAAATCCACCGATTGAGGCTCCCATTGGGCATGTAATCATACACCAGCATCAGCTCGTTGGCCTTCCGGCACCACCCCCGCATCTGCACCAAGTTCTTGTGCTGCAGCCGCCCCATGCTGGCGATCTCCGCCATGAACTCCCTCAGCCCCTGCTTCGAGTCGTGGTTGACGCACTTGACGGCGATTTCTGTGCCGTTTGATAAGGTGCCCTTGTAAACCTTCCCGAATCCACCGGAACCCAGAAGCTGATCGTTCGAAAAACCTCCCGTCGCCTCCCTCAGCTCCTCGTTGGAGAATCTGTGCGGCCAATACTCCAGCTCCCAATCTTCGATCTCGTCGTCGGTTTCTTCGCCTTCCATCCTTTTCTTCCGCCAGTACAAGTAAAACCCAGATGCTAAAATCAACACAAAAACGACACAACCGATTGAAATCCCGGCAATCGCCGCCCTCGTTAGAGAAGACGACGGAGAAACCAGCTGGAAAACGGGCAGATTCGTCGTGTTAATGTCTCTGGCGACTCCGGTGTTGCTAAAACTCCAAGCTAAAACTCTCTGGGCTTCAATCCACTGCGTTTTCGAAGCCGAAAACCCGACAAACATCTCGGCCGATACATAGTTCGCAATCTTGGGGTCTATGTAAGTAAGCGTTGGCACAGAAGGACGGGACACATTGGCAGGGGCGACGGTGACGTTGAATTCGAGATTAGTCCCGTCAAATTCAATCCAGGCCCGGACGTTCTGCCCGGTCCGCATTTGGATCGGGACGAATCCGCCGGTCGAGTTGTAGTACCCGGCGGGGGTCGTGACGGCGGACTCGATGTTGTTAAGGTCGATTCCGATGTGATTCCCATTTGGGTCGTTGAATTCCGGGTTTTGACCCGTGTCGAACTCGACGGCGAGCAACGGGGCGACGAAGGGGACGGTGGCGTTGGTGAAGAGACCGAAGTATTGGCTGGCGAGGGCGTTGGGCGGCGAGGTGGAGTTAGAGAGGACGAAGCAGAGGCCGAATCCCGGGCTCGAGGCAATATCCGGGAGAACGGAGAAGACGAAGGAGGTGGAGAAGGAGGTGACGGAGGTGGAGTTGGAGGTGGGCTTCATGGGAATTTTTGTTGGGTAGAAGACGCGGCCGACGGCGAACTGGTTGGTGTCGTTTGTGAGGCGGATGGCGGCGGCGTCGAGTCGGGCGTCGTTGATGAGAATAAGGTCGGTGGCATTGGTGATATTGGAGAAGGAGTTGAACAGGAAATCGAGAGCGGAGGTGGGGGAGAGGAAGAGATGGTGGAGGAGGAGAAGGCGGACGACGGCTGAGAAGGGTCCCATCCGCACAGATGCCATTGTCGCCGGCGGGGGGGGGGTGAAGTTTGTGGGTGGATTAACAGTTGTTATGTTACTTTGTTTAATGAAAGATTATCATATCTTTGTACAAGTGGATTGGGATCTATTTCCATCTAATTCACCAATTTCATAATCTGGGCCGTTAAAATTTAATCTAACGGCTACAAATAGAGAATTTTTTTAAAAGTTATAATCATTATAACCGTTGGATCAAATTTCAATGATCCGAATCCTAGACTTTATGGATTAGGGTGCTACTACTAAAACCAAGTCGTTATTTAATCATTTGGACTTATATGAAACATTATTCTCAATCTAGTTTTAATTTTCTTTCTTCTTTTGCAAATGATGTAGATTGTTACTTTTATATAATTGAATGGGAGGAAGAATCTTTATAATTTCGTGATATTGTTACGTAATATTATCAAGTTATGTATTTTAATTAAGAGGATTTATACGATAACTTGTGTTCAATTTTCCTTTTTCATGTTGGCTATTTTATAAAAAATAAAAAATGACAAATTTGAACTACAATTTGGAATGTTGGTTGAATGCTTGTACTTTGTAGTTCATGTAGTTAAGAGTAACTCAAGCATGAAAATTAATGTGACTGTATGCTTTAGAGCTTGTATCTAGAGCAAGTGAGGACCAAAATGAACGAGAAAAAAACGTTGACCTAGTTGCTCAACGAGTTTTGACAAGACAGTTTGAAAGCATAACATAGAAGAGATAAGGCAGATGAATATCTCATTCAGATTCTTTTTGTAAGAATTCTAGAAATCACTTCTTTATAATCATTCATTATTTTATGGAGCTAGTTTTCGTCAGGTAATATTTATGTTTAATTTTAAATAAAAAAATCAAAATAATTTTTAACTGTTAGAATGAACAAATACGATAAAGTGATCTCCAAAATCTTTACCATCAGAACAAAATCCTATTCAGATAAGGCAACACCACAGCCGACTTTGACGACCATAGTCCATGGATGTATATTATTAGGCAATTCATTACTTGAACGTGGGTTTGTTGGTTGGGTCTGTTTCCACGGGCTTCCAAATTACATCCTAACGACTAAGCAATGAGATAGAGAACCCAGGGATGTATTGAGTTTCCTCGGATTTGGATCCTCTCCTGCGTCCAAGAAGAGAATCTTCCTGACTAAACAATATAGGCTGTTAGATTTTTATTCAACGATTACAAATAGAGATGTCTTTTTAAAATATTAATTATAACCATTAGATGAAAATCTAACAATCCACACTATTTGGTCAAGAGGATCATCTCCTTGGGATCAAGAGAGGATCCAAATCCAGTTTCCTCACCCCCTTGCTTGTGAGTTTTGGTTATCATTTGGAGACCCCCACTTGCTTGTGAGTTTGGGTTATCATTTGGAGATCCAAATTACTCCACCCTAGAGTGCAGGGAGTTAAATAGGAAACCCTACCATTATAACCACTAACTTTACATCATCGTCGTCATACCATCATCACCATTGTCACCACCATAACCATTGCAACCACCACAACCACAATCACAACCGCAATTTTCACCGCCGCCTTTACTACCATTATTATCTTTGTACGCCAACCACGCCCCAATGTTGACACCACCATCATACCCTCGCAATTGTCTTTTCCATCACCATCACTGCTGTCACCGCTGTTATTACCATCGCCCCCATTATTATGTCCATTTTATCATTGTGTACAATTATATCACGTTTGTATTAAAATTTACCAAATGCTTTTACATTGATTTCCATACTCAACATCATTTATAAAATAAAACAATCTATCAAACACTAAATTGTTTTATTTTACAACTAATTATTTTTAAAGCATAATATAAATAATCTTTTTTTTTTAAAACACAGCAATCTCAAATTCATCCTTAGACCAAATAATTAGGACTCCCACCTAATAAATCTTGGTCAACACATATGAGATAAATGGATGAGTAAAATCGAACACCACCCGACCACCCCCCCCCCCCCCCCCTCTCCCCCCTTTTCTTCCCCCAAAACAAAAAAAACTACAACTTTAATCTAGTGAAAAATCCGCAGCAGTTCCATCAAAATTCTTCCCCTTTGTATGATGCTACGAATTTAGATATTTTTTGGATTTTTGTGCCAGGAGTTCAATACTAGAGAGTCGAACTACTCAGTCTAATTTTTACGATTATCTTTATTCCATCCTACCGCCCCACGTCCAAAAATACTAAATTTTTGAACAATCCGACTCTCTTTCTTTTAAACGGTCTAGATTACCTGATCAGTTGGTCTCGCAACATAAAAATTCAGAAAGAGTTATGAACCACATGTCATGTGGACCAATGCCATCACCTCCTTGACCATACACAAAGAATCTTACCTCCCCTTCGGCCTATAAGTTTTGAGTCTTTTGCCACCACAAGAATGCAGTGGATGGAGTTTGCTCCTCGCGTCCGAGGAAATCCAACATAATCCTCGTCTGATATTTTTTACGAGGATTTTAGAGATTCATAAATTATGTTTGTTTATTGTATATTGTACGGTTAATTTTTATCAAATACATGCTTATGTTTATTTTTAAATAAAAGTATTTAAAATAATTTTTAACCGAACGGTATGCAATGGCGATCAATGGATCCCGAGGATAGGCAATGATCCGGACTCTGAGCAAACTGTCCCCGGAACAGGATCCCTCGCCGGCTGCCTTGACGCCACGCGTCCCTCCACGTGTCCTCTCAATAGGTGTTACCTTCTGCGTGTCGAACCTTCTGTAAGATGGGCGTGTATGACGAGTAAACGACATACACTTTACTGTCGGAGATTGGACCCTTTTATTTCTTTCCACAAAACTGGAAAATTACAATCTTGCGGATTCCTTTATGAGTAAATTGAATCAGACTAAATAATGAAATGAAATATCCATTGCTACAAATGTGCAATATGAGGTCTTAATCCAAACAAACCGGACGTCGGCCCTCCCTAGTCACAACAACGTATACCAATACCGAACTTTTGTGCCTTTACCTAATGAAAACATTTGACCGAAATCAAAGAAGATAATATATCAATCACGAGCTGGTGGTTCAATAGTAAAAGGAAGATTACAAAGCTTTTTTTAATTTAAAATTTTGAGGTTTTGGGTTCGAAACTTGTTGCTAGTGTAGAAATCAGATTTGTGACCAGAAGAAGATTGAAATGCTTCATTGAATTTTTCCGGTATCCAAAATAAGTGAATAATCATAGTTTATCATATCCTCTTTAAAAGATAACATGTTGGTGGTGGAACAATTGAAATGATGTCGATGCCCACGCTAGCTTTCATGCTTGTTACCGAAAAAACGTCCCCACATGTCACGTCTCCGAACGTAATGGCCAATTATGTTCAAGGAACTTGTGTCCTTTGGCCTTATTCACCTTCTCCAATTACCTCATACACGCCTATGTGTTGGAGAGGTTTCCATGCATGTATGAAATCACCGCAGAGACACCGTAGCGTATTTGACAGCTAGTACAACGTGATGGATACTAGGCATTTTGCGTATCGATTGTAGCTAATTCATTAAGTCTTTCGTTGGAGTATGTTTGCAAGAATTAAATTAATGGCTTAAAACGCCACGATAACAGTAAACTCGTTTAACATCTGTCATTCTATTTATATATAAGAGGAGTGTGAAAACTTCTTTTCTGTTGATCCACCTTAAATTTTCACACAAAAATGCACAAGAAGTTGGTATGACGTTTGAAATTTGAACTGATCGTCTAGGGTTTGGAGATATGAGTTTACTTGGAGAATTCGCCTGAATTTAGATGCATTTATGGAAAGACAAATCCATGTCAAAGCATTTGTTTCTTTATATGGAACCTTTCGTGGAGTATCCAACTCATGAAATTTTGAATGATCCAAAAGCAAATTATTGGGTATTCACAACTGCAGGTGAAGTTAATTTTTGGTGCTATCCATTAAGTTTCTATTTTATGAATGATTACATATGGTATACAATTTGAATACAGTAGAACGTCGATAATTTAATACTCAATAAATTAATAACTTCGGTTAAAAAATATTTTTGGCCGGTTTTGACTTAGGGATGATGTGCTAAATTTATAACTCGCTAAATTTATAAGATAACACAATGTAAAAATTCATATGGGTCTCAGTCTCATGTAATATATAAATCAATACTTTTATGTTTCTCTGTTTTTTTTTTTTTTTTTCGTTAAATGTTCATTAAAAATAATAATGTAGTACACTGAACAATGTTCAATCTATTTTTGAAAGAAATAATTAGTTCATGAATTTACTTGGTTAAACAAATGCATAAATTATAAATTCATAGGACGAGAAACTATGTACAATATTTAAACAAAAAAAAAAAATTACCACTCATTATGTTTCTATTTAATGAATGATCTCAAAAGTGGGATAGACTCTCCATGGATTCTCTACCACTTCACATTTTTTGCACAATATTTTATAATGTTGGTACGAAAATTGACGTTAAATTATGAAATGGCAGATAATCCATAAAAAATCTCACTTTTAAGTGAATTTCCTTGATATTTCTCCATATGATAAAGACAATATGTACAAGTCAATGTTCATGCATGCACATATTTGTAGTAAAACCAAAACCACATCATTCTTACTAGGAATGAAACTAGAAGATTCTGGTGGCAAAAACGACGTACACGTTTGGAAGCGGAAGCAAAATAATGCAAATATTAAGTCTCAATGCATCGAACGTCTATTCGACTTGTACAAGCTAAGGAATAGGATTCCATAGAAAAAGTGATATATTTTGTTCTTGACGTTTATTCCTTTTGGACATCGTTGACACATAATAAAATATGGAATCTGGTAATCTTGATGCATGATATCGCATATTATCACTAATTAAGAGTCTAATGACTATAAATAGAGTGTGACAAGGCTAAAAAGCAAGCAGATAAATAAAGATCGTCGAGAAAGAAGACAGGGAAAAGTAACTGTGGTTTTTCTACTATATACTCTTTTGTTAATCAAAGAAACGTGATTTCTCTACTTAGAGAAATCACAATTAGACGTAGGCAAAATTTTTGTTGAACCAGTTTAGTCTTGCGTGTTTCTATTTATTCTCTAATTTGCTAAATTTAGTTTATTGCCAAATTCAAAGAGCAACATTTAAAGGAGAATCAGAATTATAACTATTAGTTATTTAAGAACATTCTCTTTTTTATTATTGAATTCAATTTCTTTATCTTCCACAATTGCTCGTACTACCAAAAGATTCGATTTGACATTTTAAACCCCTTAGACTTGAATGAGGATCTTCTTTTGTGAGAATCCAGAAGGTCTTTTAATTTCGTCGTAAATTGTGCAGTTAATTTTTATCAGAAATTATTTGTATTTAATTTTCAATATAAAATTTAAAATGGTTTTTGACCACACAATATACGAGAAATGAACATGATTAAAGGGTAACAAAGAGGATCCGGATAGGATCTTCATTCCTTAGACTCTATTGTTACCAATTTTTTTGGAGTTATTAACGGTGGTACATGTACAATGCAAATTCCTATTTAATGGGAGCAATCCAGTGAACCTAGTTTCTCGAAGTCGAAACGAGCTGAAAGTGAACTTCAGGTTCCGGTTAGCGAGTGAAATAGGCAATGGTGTTTAAATGAGGATAGTTTTATCTACACACCTATTTGTACTTCTCATACATCTTTTTTAATTTTCTACCGTTGAATTGAATGAATTAAAGAAAATCCATGAATATAATCAAATGAATTGAAAAAAAGTTAACAAAAATGTGTGTAAGATAAGGGTAGGTGTTTGGATAGCACTATCTTTTTTTTTTTTTTTGAAAGAAACGATAGAGTAGTATTTCATTGAAAATTCACAAACAATTGCAGAGGTTGCCAATCGGGTGCATAAGCTCCACCAAGAAATTGATTTGGAGTAAATTTGCACAGTGTAAGAAACAATAGTAAACCCCTATACGGCTACCACAAACATTGTCCTACCCCTACAAAACGTCATCAATACAAATCTATTACAAAAACACGATAAATGTAACAGACTTATACCGGTGACCACATAGGTCATCGCAAAAATGTGAGGCCACATACAATCATCCCAATAAAGCGAGACCATAAAAAGTCATTGTTAAAAGACGAGACCACGAACTCAACGCACAAAGCGAAGACAACTTCAACCACTGCAAACACCCGACCACAACATTCATAAGGCAAGGCAACAAAATCAAACACTACTCCGAGAAATGACCACCGATCAGTTCATCTCAGCGAGCAAGACACGAATCAAGTAGAGTAAACAATACTCAAGTAGAGAACTGCGTCACTTCCGATGGAGGAGGGGTCTTGGAGTGTAAAGGGAAGGGGCGCTTGGATCCGCTAATATTTATATGGTTATACTCTTCGTCAATCTTTTTATTCACAATAAGAATGATGCATCTGTTAATCTAATGGCTATAAACACTTTTATATTAAAATGTGAATTTGCATTGTAAAAATATTCGAAAAATGATCAAGTTAAAAGGATGATATAAGAATAAGGCTTCTTAGCCAAAATGGTCCCTAAGATTTGCATAACTCCTCACATTGGTCCCTGAGATTTCAAATCAATAGAAGTGGTCATTGAGATTGTCCACCATCCATCATTTTGGTCATTCCGTTAAAAACTCCGTTAAGTGTCCCGGAGCTCGTGGCCGAAAGTTTGGGCAATTTTCAAAGCTTCGTAACTCAATCGTTTCTTAACCAAATTCGATCCATAATATATCAAAATGAAGATAGTAAAGTGTAGAATAAGATTATACCTATTTGGAAGCCCAATGGTTGCCAGAGATGGTCGGAAAATAGCCTCACAGTTGACTAGTTCGGGGGAAAACTGGAAAACTCGCCGAAAGCTAGGCAAACTTTAAACGTTCATAACTTCTTCAATACTCAACGAAATCAAGTGATTTAAAAACAAAAATCATACTTCTCAATGAGATGAAGAGAATCGTACATTTTTTAGCGGCTAAGTCACTGTGGTTTGGCCAGAAAAAGGCTTGAAAGTGGCTAACTCGAGACCAAGATAGCCACTTTTGAGCCATTTTCCAACCAAACCACAGTGAGTTAGCCGCTGAAAAAGGTACCATTATCTTCGTCTCGTCTAGAAGTATGGTTTTTGTTTTTGAATCACTTCATTTCGTTGAGTATTGAAGAAGTTATGAACATTTAAAGTTTGCCCAGTTTCCGGCGAGTTTTTCAGTTTTCCCTCGGACTAGCCAACTTTGAGGCTATTTTTCGACAATCTTCGGCAACCATTGGGCTTCCAAATAGGTATAATCTTATTCTTCACTTTCCTATCTTCATTTTGATATATTATGGGTTCGAATTTGGTTAAGAAACGATTGAGTTACGAAACTTTGAAAATTGCCCAAACTTCCAGCCAAAAACTCCGGGACACTTAACGGTGTTTTTAACGGAAGGGCCAAAATGATGGATGATAGACAATCTCAGGGACCACTTCTATTGATTTGAAATCTTAGGGACCAAAGTGAGGAATTATGCAAATCTCAGAGACCATTTTGGCTAAAAAGCCTTAGAATAATATTGCACATCTAAATCAGTTCAATATCATGATATTTTTATTGGGTATTGTAATTCACACGCTCATTTTTATTTTTAGACACTCTCTATTGATGTATGTCTTTTAACCATCTTTAACTTATTCGATTCGAGGATCGAAAAGGTGTTTAGAAATTGGATTCTTCTGTAGGAAGTTTAAAATTCTTAAGTGGAAGTCTAGGAGGGAGAAAAGATTTCCACCAAAGCTTACAAATTAATTAATCCAAGCTCTTAAAATTTGATCAAACGGGGAAAAATTATTATAACTTTTAAATGAACCATTTGTTTGTAGCCGTTTGATCAAATTTTAAAGATCCAAATTAATTGATTGGTGAGTTTTGGTGAGAGAGATCCTGAGAAGATCTCTTCCAAAAGATTGCAACTTATCCGTCAAATTAACAGTTGTCGGCATGTAAACAGATTACCAATTTCGTGATGATTCCTTTTGGACTTTTGGAGTCAGTGACCTCCGAATCAATTCGATTTAATTTCAAAACCACTTCCACTTTTCTTTTCAAATACGAAAAATAAATATTTTAAAAAATTAGTAAATTTATTTTTTATGATGACTCACTGGTCCCGCTACCTAAATGGGCCCAGCGATGCCCACTCCATCTTGCTTTGAGTACTTTTGAAAAGGGTCATCGCCGGATCATTTTTCTAAGGATCATTGTTGGATTTTTTTTTCTAAGGATCCTAGGAATTTTGTGATTATATTGTGTGATTAGTTTTCAGTAGATACTATTTATATTTAATTTTAAATTTTAAATTTTAGAATGATTTCTAATAGCATGATATATGATGAACGATCACGATTACGGAATTCTTAGAATTCTTAAAAAAAGATTGGACGAGGATCCTTTTTCATTTCAGCAGCCTTTTGTTTGACAACGAATGAGAAAAAAAGAAAAAGAATATCCGAAGAATAAATCAGCGAAATTCAACAGCAAAGGCAAAGCTAATTACTAATTACAATTAAATTACGACTATGAATTATAATTAGAGGAAACAACCGCGAGATTAGTATTCCTTCGTTAGCGCGTGGGCCTCTCGCTGACGTCACCGTCACTCCTCCCCATCTATAAATACTCTACAAAATCACTCCCTGGGGTTTGAACCCTTAAGCACCTCTTCTCCTCCAAAACCAAAACCCTTCTCTCTCCTCTCTCTCGCAGCTCTCTCTCTCTCTCTCTCTGTGTAACCAAACAGCAGCTTTTCTCTCTAAAACCGAAACAGTCGAAAAGCCATGGACCTCAACAAAGCACCTGAACCGTTGAAGATCCTCTGCAGCTATGGTGGTAAAATCCTCCCCCGCCACTCCGACGGCACGCTCCGATACGTCGGCGGCCACAACCGCGTCCTCGCCGTCGATTCCTCCATTACATGTACAGGTGCGTTTGATCGTCTTCGATTTGATCTTTTTCTTTCGATTCTTGCTTGAGTTCTTGAATTTTTTTTACTCGATTTCAGTTGCTTAGTTTGAATTTCGATGCTGATTTTGAGTTTTTTTCTGTGTGTTCAGAGCTAATGGAGAAGCTTAAGGAGTTCTGTGGCTACTCTGTGGAATTGAAGTGTCCATTGCCGAACGGAGATTTGGAGACCTTGATTGCCGTAAAGTCCGACGAGGATTTGACGAATATCATCGAAGAGTACGATCGAGCTTCTTCTCTGCCTCGTCCTCTGAAGATCAGAGCCATTCTCGCGCCGCCGAAGTCCCCGAAGCAAATCTCGCCTCCGATGTCCACTGCTACGAGCGGCGGCGACTCGTCCCCCTCGAAATCGCTCTTCTCATCCACCGATTCGCCTCCGAAACGTTTCGTTTCGCCACCAAGACGGTACGTTTCGCCTCAAGTCTCGCCGCCGGCTGGACACCGCGCCGGATATCAGAGAGGGTCCGGACGAGTCTGCTACTATCCTTGCCATGTCCACACTCAGAGGAGCAAGCCCTGCGACATGTCGTATGTTCATCATTATCAGCAGTATCGTCACTACCACCACCACCAACACGTTCCTCACTGCGACATGTCGTATGCTCGGAGCTTCCCACAGAGAACCTAGATGACGTAATTAATCTAAAATACATTTTAGAATACAAATTACAAGGGGTGATTGGGTTTGTCGAAAGAAGGAATTTTAATTTTCTTTATTTTTTTTATTTTAATTTTTATTTTTTATACATTTTTCGAGGTGGTTTGGTATATAATGACAAGAAAAATACAGTTGTACTTGAATTCGTTGGGCCAATCGTTTGGATTCCGTTTGTCGCCGTTAAGTCAGCGCTGTCTTGTCAGCAGCATCCCTCCGTGCGTGCCACGTAGCGCTCACAGTTTGTTCAGAACAAGGTAGTCCAATTAAAGTCGGTCCGCCGTTGACACGTAACGTTTCTGTTACAACTATTTTGTTGATAATATATTAATATTTGATTTGCTGTGCTAATTATTGTTTATCTCTTTAATGTGCAGGTGGTTGTGGCGTTTCACATGGAACCAGATGTCGTTTTGGCTGCGGGCCCGTGAGGAATATTCCCAAAACGCATGCGCGCTGAAATTAAGGGGAATTGGAATGAAAATTAAGAGTCATAATACGGCCTTAAAATGAAATTAAATAAGTAATGATAATTAGGAGATGAACCTTCTTAGCTGTTGCCAGGAAAGCTAAAACGAATATATCTTTATTCAAACTTGGCTTGAGGGCTGGCCAGTCGGTCCTCAAGTAGGAGGAATGACTTTTAAAAGGGACAACTTGCCTTGAGGGCTGGCCAGTTGGTCCTCCTAAGTAGGAGGAATGGCTTTTAAAAGCGACAACTTGCCTTGAGGGCTGCTTCACATTCAAGTGTCCCAAAAATTGGAACTTTGTGAGTTGGAGTAACCTTTGGAGGGCTTCCAGAGCCTAATATCATATAAGCGTTACGCCAGAGTACGGTAAAATATTGACTTAACAAGTAATTTCAGGAAATTGATAACTAAGAACAAATTCTCGCTAAAGATGAATTTGAACTATATTACTGCTAGCCAGGCTAATCCCAACATCTTCACTTAGTGTAGATAATATCGTTTGCTCAAAAAAAAAAAACTAAAGAACAAACAATGTTTTTGGGTTGTTTTACAGCAATCTAAATTATCTAATTTTTAAGTCTCCATTCATATATTATCCTTGTTAAATGATCAATTCAATGCAGACAATTCACGCATTTAATTCATGTCATGAAATTTTAGCGTTTAAAAACGTTGTGTTGGTCAACTTATTTTGTTAAATTAATGTCTCAATCACCTTTGACTTGGCCAAAATTTTGCACAAATAACCTATGAATTGAAACTTAGTGTTGATCGCTTAAATATAGAGTTGGCCAACAAAGGGTTCTCATCTACCTTATCGGCTTCGTCAAAATAAACACTAAAATAAAAAGTTTGTTTTGAACAATATTAACACTTGTGTGATTATATAAATCTTAAGTAAAAATAAATTAAAAATTCTTCGAGGTCTATAAGATCTTTTCTATTAATTTTTGTATTATTTAGAGAACAAGTTACTCTCTTTCCTGTCCTCCATTATTCTCTATGCCGCTACCTTCACAACGAAGTTGATATTTAATAAGATAATATTGTTATCACGGAACTTGGATACAACGTTTTTGGAATAGAACAACTCAAAATAAGTAATTTATTCCCACCAAACAAAAATTTCGCTTTATTATATTGCCATTTGCAAATTGAATAAGAATATGCAATGCATCAAATTTTACGGAACTGTTATTAACACTCTAAAAATCTCATTCTACACTCCTCATAAGTATAATTTTATTTCTAATTATAGAAAGTTTGGAGTGCAAAATGAGATTTATGGAGTGTTAATAGCATTTCCCAATTTTTAATACAACTTTACATTTACACGTAAGAAAGCGAGGCAATAGATTAGTATCGTGCTCGTCATTTACAAGATTCAAACATAAAAACTCACTTATAAATAAAGAAAAATACTACTAGGCCATAAGTAGTTCCAGCAAATCAAATTTTATTTACAAACATAGTTTGGCAAATGCGTCGTGCTTGTTGTATTTATGTCGTTTTCACATCATATTCGTTATCTTAACAGGGCTTGTCATGTAAAACCTGTTATCTTAACGGGTTTTTAGCAGGTGACACAATAACGTCTCGATTTGTTAATGGGTCGTGACATTTCGTTTCGGATTAATAGGTCATACAAGAAATTACCTTGCCTAATGTCTAGATCATGCAAATGATAATGATATCTTGTTGGGTTCTTAATAGGAAACCCGAAAACAACCAACATTAACAGGTTACCCAATAATGACCCGACTCGTGAACAAGTGACCTGAAACTCATTATTTTCATGTCGTTTTTTGTCGGATTAATGATTCATGAAAAAGATTGTCAGGCTAGTCCAACCTGTCCCCACAAAAACGACAAAAATAAAATTTCCAGGATCCACCCATGGACCTAATTTATTGCAACTCCATTAACATATACTAGTCTCCATACACGTGCTCACGCACATGCAAAAGACATTGTTTGAATCACGAAGTGCTATGTGCAACTTACACGTTCTAAATGTATATACATGTGTAAATTGACAAAAGGAAAGTCAAATATTTGAAGTAAATGAATAATCTTAGATCATGCTAGAAGAAACCCCTCATAAACCAATTAAAACAGTTGAATTCACATAATAAAATTGGTCTCTATAGAATTTATATTAAGAATTGATAAAATAATATTTAATAAACAATTGATTGAATCACAATATTGCTAGCCCATTGTGAGGCTGAGCCCCCCCTTTTAGTATAGATAATATCGTTTGTTAAAAAAAAAAAAAACAATCATTTAACAACTAATTTAATCGCATTATTATCCGCATGCGAAAGACCTTTTTTTATAACCGGCATTACATGCATCTTAAGATGTTTTGAACATGTTTAAAATAGAGAAAATAATATTAATAAACGACTGAGTGATCATTGTTGCTAGCCTATTGTGAGGCTAAACCCGCCTCCCTTCCCCTTAATATAGATAATATCGTTTGTTACAAAAAAAAAAAAACAATCATTTGACAACTAATTTAATCACATTATTATCCGCGTGTGAATGATTTTTTTTATAACATGCATTACACGTCTCTTAAGATATTTTGAACATATTTATAAATAGAAAAATTGAATCAAATTATTGCTAGCTTTTTTTTTTTTTTTTTCTTTCCACCCACACCAGGCCTCGAACTTGGGACCTAATCTAGCCCACCCCTTACCCACACCCTCCTCACCAATAGACAATGAAATTATTACTAGCTTATTGTGAGATACTAATTAAAAAAAAAAAAACCATAAAATAATTAATTATTTTTAAAAACTATTAAAATGACAAAAATACCCCCACCTTATTTGATGCATTATTTAGAGATGCCTTTAAAGTTCTTTTGTTTTTGGGGCCTTTTTGTTGAAGCTTGGTGACACCAAAACTCTATTCACCTTTTCTTCTCTCTTTATATATATAATAATAGATAGACAGATAGATTGATTAACAATATCTTTAGGACATCTCTCTAACTTAAGGATATGTTTTACTATTAATTAAGGGCCATGAAAAATGACAGAGAAACACAAAAGGCAGAGACTTTATCTTTTATCAATAGAGGGAACAGGGAAGTGGCTTAGTTCAGCAAATTTGTTTAAGCTAATGTATGAGGATACACGTAAAGATAATGCCGCATTCGGTGCAGGCTTGTGGCCGTCCAAACGGAAACACAACAAGGGGTATCGCTGTCAGCAATTTCAACTGGTTTCCTGCTCAAACTCTTCACCTTCGGAATCCTCTGCATTGTCTACATCATCATCGTCTGGATCGTTGTCATAGTCTTCTTTATCGTTGTCGACAGCGGTTTTCCCAATAACGGCCATGGTGCTGCTACTCTTTCTGATTTCATTGCACTGCAACAATTAACTCATAAGACTGCCAACTTAAACAAGAGAAGAAATATACGTGCTAAAATACAATAACATCCCTATTTTTAGTTTCAAGACACTTGAACCAGCACAGATCCAATGTTTTCGTTTCTAGGCAACTTAAGGTTATATCGTTTGGCCATGAATCCGACTCTCAGAAGAACTAGGCTGTCCCATGTGACATGTGCCTCCATCCTGCTCAATTCAAACATTACCCCATCTTTGGGTTCGAGCTAAATCTTTATGCAAATATATCTTGAGAAGATGCAATTTCAAAAAGGATGGACTTCAAACGTTTCTGTAGGCAACCGGGGTTGAGAAACCCAGTTGGCCTTGTGGAATTGATAGTGTAATGATCAAGTTGTCTGTCCTATAGAGTATATCATACACCTCAAACTATTCGTCTTTCTCCTTGAGGTTTTGCTACTCAAACAACCAATTCTGAACAAGGTGTCTGTTCTTCTAGTTTGTTACACTTTACAATCCCCAATCTTCAAGGCTGTAACTCACAAGAATCCCAAAATAGCACCTCACGCTGAAAAACTACCCAACGATGAAAGTAATTTTTTTTGTGAGTTCCTAAGGTTAGACAGTCATGTAACTCATGAGATACACAAAAAGTCCGCTTCTTATTACTGGAAATACCAAAATACTGAGCTCTTTCTTACTCGAAAGACCTTGAAATTTGACCCCCTTTCTGATTTAGTGCAGATATCACCGAGTAGCATCCTTCCCAAAGGGAGTGGCATTCTTCACCACCAACACATGATTTCCCGAGTCAAATTGGAGAACTATACACTCCCAAAGAGACCCACATACCAATGAGGATTTGAATTGAGTACACTGACATTTAACGATGCCAAGTCTCGAAATGACCCAACAACCTGAACCTTTCATAACTTGACCTAGATCTTTGGCAAAAGGCATAAAATGTTACCAAAACAAACACTTTATGATACAAATCTGATCAGCAGAAGAACTCACACAGCTTATACGATAAAAAAAACGAAACGTTTCAAAACCAATTTTCTTTCAGGAGAACCAAAAGAAGGAACTTTCAACAAGGTGCATCCAAGTAACCAAACAAAACTTGTAAAGCTTTACAGGCATATCTTAGCCTACAGACAATTCAAATGATGAACACAATAAAAATCCTTACTTTAGTTACAATTTTACAAAATTAGGGTCTTTCCTTCAAAATTAGATCTTATTAGGATTCAAATTAGGGTCTTTTTTCATAATTTCAAGCAATTGGATCTTTTCCCTCTTTGTTCTTTGGATTAAAATTTCAATTAGGTCGAAATCTGGGGCAATTCGACATACCCATAAAGGAAAATTAGATATGTAAATGAAAAAAATGAAGTTTCTGAAAGCACCTTCTCTTCGAAATCGGACTCCTCCATGGCGAGGAGGAGCTCCTCACTATGGGGTTGGGGCCATTGGGTTGGCAGCAGAAACGACGTCGGTATGGTCCTTGTTGACCACGGGTACTGTTTCATGAACCCCGGGAACTGTAACATTGCTCTCTCTCCCTCTCTCTCTCTCGCCGAACAGAGTGCTTCCGTACAAACCTCAGTCACCGTGGAGTGGAGAGGACCTGCTCGACTGGACTCTCTTCCGTTTGCAGGTGAGATATGAAGACAACGTGTGGAACCCACGTGATACCACTTAGATTTTTGTAACAATAATGTTATTCCAATCACAATTTTATACCGCATTTCTTTAACATCTTAGGTGGTAAATGAGTTAAACAACCCCATCATCTAAATTAATTAGCATTTAATCAAAATGTTAATCAATAATTAATAAAAACATTGTTAATTAAATAATGATTGTGGTATAGTCTCATTCTTCTACCTAAAATTATTTAAGTATTTTAATTAATAAAAAGATTGAAATTAAATGATATAGTTTGTCCAACTCATCTAACATCTAAGATGGTAAAGAAATATGATAAAAAATTATGGTAAGAATAACATTACTCTTTTTGTAAACTCATATTACATATAATTTCATGTTTTTTCCAAATTATATTTTATTTTTGCTACTAGTGATATTTTTCTTCATTTGCAAGTGAGAGGTTTTAAGTTCGATTTTCGCCAAATAATGAAATTGAACCACATTAGTGTTTGTCTATTGTGAGTCTAAGTCCTCATGCTCTCCCTTATTATAAATAATACTGTTGTTAAAAAAATATTTACTATAAAAAAAGTGAAGCACAAAACTACAAATAACTACGATGTGTCGCTTAAGGTCTTTCGAGCCCCCTATTGTATCAATGTCTATATTTGGACCAGACGAAGGATCTTTATTTGGATCAGACCAAGAAAATATTAATTAAATTCAGGCGCGTAAGGCCACTCGACTTGGTCGTTTGAAACTGGCATGCATTCATGCTTTAAAGTGATTTTAAATTAGTTCAAATTTTTTTAAACATTTCAAAAAACTACTCATCGTTCCGAAAAATAAATATTTGCAGTGTTTGTGATTGAGAGGATGCAAGTCCAATTTTGTGGGAGAAGTTATAATTATTTAATTATAAAAAGATAATTAAATAATTGATATTCACCCAAATTAGGAGGTGGATGGAGGGATCTTGGCTTGACAAATATAGATCAAGAGGTGAGGATTAGAAGCATCTAAGAAGCTATCAAAAGAAGGTTCATAAGAATTAGAAAATTCGTCAATTCACTAATGTAACAACACATCGATTTATTTCATCTTATACACATCACAATATGTATATTAGTATCACATATTATTTTGTAGTAGTGGAAGAAAATCTATTATATTTATGTACTCTGGAGCCATTTTGATCGACCTCATTAATTCTCATTTTTCATAATGACTGACTATTTAACTTACTAATGCCTACTAAAAAAATTTACATTAATATCACTTCTCTCATTTTTCTTAATAATTGATTATTTAACCTACTAATGTTATCGCAAAAATTTTTCAAGTCAGTTTTGAATTTGTTTTTGTTTTAGAAGTTTTCTAGTCTTGTTATTTTTAGTGAAGCCTTGAAATCCCAAAGTGAAATTCCGACATTCTAATAGTAAAGATTCTGATGTATACTTTTTTTTTATTTTTTTGGTAAAGATAATGTACACTAAAACAGCTATAACAAAATTGCTTAAGGTGAAAGGAAATGTACATCCATATGTAAGACCTTTGAATTTTTTCAGAACTGGCCCTGAGAATTTGGGGGCCCTAGGTGAGCCTTCAAAGTGGGGCCCTAAAGTTCTCGGACCTTCGACTCTTTGTATATTGGTATGTAGTAAAAAGAATTTGCTATTATATAAAAAGTATATTTCTTCATCGAATATTATTAAAAATTAATATCAAAATGAAACAGATATACTAATATTACTTAGATATTACATGTCACATGTCTTTAGACGCAAATGCACTAAGTGTTTGTAGTTAAGAGTCTAAGATTAAGGGTGAAGAGTAATAAAACTTGATGATCAAGAGAGTAAAAAACAACAAAACTTGATTGACGAATATAATAATTCAACAATGCCAAGTGGTTCTCTTGTGTTCTTTCTAAAATCAACATCACACTAGCGAATCAAATTTTAGAATAACCTAGTTTAACAATAAATTATTGAAAAAGAAAATTTAAATTCAAAGTTTTGGTTACCTCGAATTACAATCTTCAGGACAAAGTGATAGTTGCTTAAAAATTCAATAGAAAAGAAAGGCTGGGAAGTTGAAAGCAAAAAGATTACAAAGTTATGATTATTCTGGTTTTTGTTATTTTTTAGGTTATTTTCAAAAGCAAAAGAAAAAAAAATGCATTTGGACATGGGGCCATTAATTTCACTAGCCACTTGTCACACGCGTAGGTGTGTGACAATTGACCTTTGTATGTTTTTTATTTAAGAAATTCAAGTTTTTTCTATTTATACAATTTTTATTTAAAATATTTTTGAACATAAATAAGAAGTTAAACATAAACCACCAACTAACGTGAAGTTTTTTTTTTTTTTTTTTTTTTTTTTTTTCTCTCTTTTCTAAAGTTGAAAATCTTAAATTCATTCAAAATTAATATTTGTTGAATTATTTTAACTCCTTTTAATTCTTGTAATTTTAAAATTTTTAAGGGGCAATTTATGATATTTTAAATGTTTCACTATTTTGGAGTGCTCCATTTATATATATAAATATATACATATGGAGTAAATCTCACCCTTTCTATGATTTTTGTTTGTTTGTTTTTGGAGGTTACTTTCAAAAGCAAAAGGAAAAAAAAAAAGGATTTTGGCCCATTGGGACCATTAAAGAAAACGGAGTGGAATTGTCACATCCCCGCCCGGGGCAGATCACTTCCCGGGTCCGCTCCACCACCGTAGCACGATATTGTCCGCTTTGGGCTTACCATTCCCTCATGGTTTTGTTTTTGGGAACTCACGAGCAACTTCCCAGTGGGTCACCCATCATGGGATTGCTCTAGCCCCCTTCTCGCTTAACTTCGGAGTTCCTACGGAACCCGAAGTCAGTGAGCTCCCAAAAGGCCTCGTGCTAGGTAGGGATGGGAATATACATTTAAGGATCACTCCCCTGGGCGATGTGGGATGTTACAATCCACCCCCCTTAAGGGCCCGACGTCCTCGTCGGCACACACGCGACCAGGGTTAGGCTCTGATACCAATTTGTCACAGGGCCCGGGGCGGATCACTTCCCGGGCCCGCTCCACCACCATAGCACAATATTGTCCGCTTTGGGCTTACCATTCCCTCACGGTTTTGTTTTTGGGAATTCACGAGCAACTTCCCAGTGGGTCACCCATCATGGGATTGCTCTAGCCCCTTTCTCGCTTAACTTCGGAGTTCCTAAGGACTCCGAAGCCAGTGAGCTCCCAAAAGGCCTCGTGCTAGGTAAGGATGAGAATATACTTTTAAGGATCATTCCCCTGGGCGATGTGGGATGTTACAGGAATCGTTTCCACTACACCAACAAAGTAATTGTGATGTGTTTTACGTTTCCTGTATTTATATCTTATATACAGGATGTATAAAAAAAATTGGGGCCCCCGAACTTGGGGGCCTTAGGCGACCGCCTACCCCGACTACCCTCAGGGCTAGCCCTGAATTTTTTATATTTTTAGATTCTGCTTTCGCTATACAAGTATCCTTGTTTTTGTTAGCGTTTCGTGTTGGAAAATAGAAACGCGGAAAGTATTATGAGATAGAGAAATTAGTGGATTACAAGCAAAAAAGCCCATGTGATGCTGCGGGTTTACAACTCTAGTTACACATAATTACAACAATGTTTCTAATTCTACTACTACATATATACAACCATACTCACAATCCTATTTACACACATACTAATCAGCATTTAAAACTATGTTAAATGGGGGGAGTTTTACCTCAGTACAAAACTTGATAAAATTAAACAAATCCCCATGTCATTGGCTCTTCATTTTGACCCTTGCTGTTATAAACTAGGCTAAATGGATTTGATGGTTTGAGGTTTTTTGCGATGATTGTGAGCAACAAAGGAGATAAAGCAGCATGGAGCAGTGAGCAAGAGTGAGAGGGGGGAGTAGGCAGGAAGTGTCGATGGAACGAGATCTCACGTGTTCGAGAATGCTGCTGTACTTGATAGCAAGGCAAAATGGCAAAGTTGAAAAAGGGAAAAAACAGTGGGTAAAACCAGAACAACACTGTGCTTATGAACAATGTTTTAGTTCATTTTCTCTTTTAGTATATATATAATTTCTCCTCCGCGATGCGGCGAGGCAAAAAAAAAAAAAAAATTCCAGTGCACCGAACAATGAAACACGCCAAACTCAAGGTATTGTTTTTACAACTCACTACTATTCGCCCATTACTATCCACATGCCCCTAAACTCTAAACCTCATGGGCCTCCAATGCTTCTGCCATGCATTGTGCCTTCCCAAAAGCATGAGTTTTGGGTTGTGTTTCACTGCGCCTAACCATTAATTTTATTTATTTTATGTGTTAAATTTTTGTTTTTCCCATACCACAACACAAGACTATCATCTTCATGTTCTACAAAATGTATTTTTAGTGAAAATTTTCTTATAATCCATGTCAAAAAAAATTCAATGGAAAAAAGAAAAAAAAAAGAAAATGATATGATCGGTGGTTTAGTAACGATCTCCCTCAAGGGGAGTCGCTACTAAGCTAGCGGCTTCATTAAGGAAAAGTCGCTAGTTTCATACCAATCCCTTCTTTTCAATTTTCTTTTTCTTTTCTGTTTTTTTATTTTATTTTTATCTTTGGTAATTTTTCTTTTCTTTATCTTACTACAACAACAAACTATCATATTCATATTCTTCAAAATATAATTTTTTTTGTACAAAATCTATTACAATTCATATTTAAACACTTGAAATCAACAATTTAAAACATAAATTTAAATACATTTTTCTATTTTTCAACTTTACAAATCAATAAAAAAATTAATTTCAAGACCTAATAAATGGTAGGATCACGTATGTCCAAAAATCTTACAATATTTTCCTTAACTCCGATGCAAAATATTTCCTAGAACAACAAAGCATTCTAATTTACTCTAAAAAATCATTAATTCGACCGAATCAATCTACATTTTCGAGGAATTTTAGAGGTCCTTATTTTAATATTGTTACTCGTTTTCACAACGCCCAACTCTACATATTCGAACAAAATAACGAGTATCTGTTGATAATATTATTTTTTTGCCGCCAAATGTATACAAGAGGCTTAAATCATTGACGCCATTGACGTCCAATACAATCTCTCCCATTATCTTTTTGCCGCCCTGGTGTGAACCACCAAAAGTTGGAATTTTGAAAAGAAAAAGTCGGGGCCTTGCGAAGACTTGGAATCTTTAAAGTCTCTGTATCATCTTCTCCAACTTCATTCTTCACCGAAAGCTCCTTCTGTGGAGCTATGGCCTCCACCACAGTCATCGACGTGCGATATTTCGGAACCTCAAAGGTAAGAATTTGATTTTGTTTGTTAGCTTTTGTTACTTTTTGTTTGGTTGCCAAGAAAGTTAGGGAGAAGAGATGAGAATTATATGTATAACATAGAATTGTGCTAGGGGTGGTATGAATGTAAAAACATCAGCATGTATCGTGACCTGCGCTGCTGCACCTCTAGGTGGTAAGATGCATGTTGGAATTACGAAGTCTTATCCAACCAGGTATGGTCGGTCGGATGAATTTAAAACACTATTGGGCTTGGTTTTGCGTCAAGTCTTCCATTAGCTCTACCTACTCTAGTTCTTTCTAAAAGCCTATATCTAGTTCTTTCTAGGTCTTCTTCTACATTTTTGCCACTCATCACCTTATTTTCTAATCGTAGTATATGTAGGTCTTCGTTTTACATGTCTAAATCACCTTAACTAATTTTCTCTATTTATCTTTAATTACAGCCACTCCTACTTTACTTGGGATATATCCTCGTTCCATATCTATAAAAATCATGTGCAAATCCTTTTGCATATTTCTATATCATCCCATCGGATAAACTGCCACTATAGTCGAGCGCCCAGCATGAATAGATTGCCTTAAGGACCGGTAATCCGTCTCTCTGAAATCTTGAGAGCATGTAGTTTCGGTGTTTCTAATCGAAAACAGTAAATAGATCGATAATTCTTTTTATCTCTGAAATACAAAACAACTTTTTTGTAAAATTTATCAATGGTGAAACGGGTTTATCTAACTAAAGCTGATTAGCTTGGTCATGAAATTTGGAAAATATTATTTGCAAATTTGTGTTCTGAATATTAATTTGAGATTTCACGTTATGTTATGTTTTTGTTTGGTTGCTTTTGAATGCTTCTAACAGCTCAATGGTTGTGTGCCGAAGGTTAAAGTTGGGGATAGAGTGAGGCATCTCAGAGCTCTTGTTGACAACAATGGCGAATTGGATCTCGACATGGGAGGTTTGCGGCGAGAAATTCGCATCCTTTGTAACCTCCCACCCGGTGCTGACATTGCTCTAACGTACATTGATGAAGACTATGATGTAGTAACTCTTGTGGACGACAATGATCTGCGGGAAGCAATGAGGCAGCGTCTGAAGTCCTTCAGGATCGATGTGCAGATGAACGATGACAAAGAAGAATGCGGTAAAAATTCAAGCTCCGAAAAATGTCACGTGACGGATGCTGTAAATGTGACAAGTGATGTGAGTAGTAGCAATGTGTTTGATGAATTCCATCTAGCAAATTACGATCACCATGTTAGTCCTTCTGTTAAACAATCTGAAGACGAATGTGGTATGATGTGCCATGCGAGCATTCGCTGTGGCGTCTGCAATGACAAGGTCGCGACGTTGTGGTTAGCGGCGTTAGCCCTCCTAGTGTCGGTTCGGTTATTATCACGGCGACATGGATCGGAGTGCTAAGTGCTGCTATACCTCCTCTGCATGAAGGGTTTATATTTTCAGCACCATTCATGTGGCAAATGAGCTAGTTTTTGTGTTCAACCAAATAAAGAGAGGCCTTGTTGCTTTGGCTTGTGCAGCAATTTTGAGTCTGCAGGCCAATTAACATATATAGCTTGTTTCTTCCGTTTTATTTCTGTGTGATATGAGTTAATTTTCTTCTCTCTTTTTTGTGAATTGTCAACGAGATGTTGGTTTTCGCAAATGCTCGTAATCACTTGAGTTTGTAGAGCAATTCGTGAAAATTACCATCGTATGTTTACAAATTATTAAATTGTTAATTAATGACTTGTTCCCTTTTTTGACTTTTGGATTCATGGTTTTTAATGAGTATTAGGAACAGATGTTACAAAATGTACCATTTTACGTGTTACAATAAAATTTAATGAATATATTTTACTTTTAAACACGTGTTATAATATGAATAAAATAATAACGTTACGTGACCGTATTATAAGTATTTAAAAAAAAATATATGATGTAATGCCACAATATTTATATAAAAAAAATGTACAAAATCTTTACCATTATCATTATTGTTTTTGCCTCGTAATTCCATATTTACCAAATATGTCATTGGATCAACACTACAATCATATGCAAGTAACCTTTTACTGTATTGATGAAAATGTGTTGAATCCTTGCATGAGACTACGATCACATAAGACTTGAACTTTGAGTGAAATGAAAATAAACAAATAACGTACAGGTGGCAGTAGCAAACAAATCCACGTATGAGGTTCCACATTTTTAAAGTGGATCTTCGAACCACAAGAACAATCTTCTGCTTAATAAATCCGCGCACCTATCTTTGGCGAGAAGCAAACGAGAAGTCACTCTAATTTCTTATTCGCTAAGCCAAGATCGATCTATAAACACACACAAACAACGTATTCCTCTCTGCGTTTCACAGATGCGGTGATAGCGGCTGACCGGTACGCTTGGGGCTTGGGGTTCCGACATAACATCCGATTTTCTCGTTCCTGAGCGGTTCTGTAATTGTATAGGGTTAGGGTTTTACTATTGGTTCTGGGATTTTGGAGCACACTGGTTGGTTGTTTCTGCAGCTATGGCGTCATCGACCAAGGTTATCAAGGTGCGATCTTTTGGAAGTTTCGGTTTCGAATTTGAATTTTTTAATTGGGTTTTTGGTTTTGCGCTGTTTGGTTGATGGGAAAGTTTGGGGGGAAGGAAAATGGGTTTTTAAATTTGACATGCGACTGAGCTGTTGGGTGAAATGGGGTTCTTGATTGATGGATTTATGTTTGGGTTCTGGTAATTGGGGAGGGTTTATGTGATGATAACTTTTGAATTTTGAGTTCTATGATGCATCGGGGCTTTATTTGATCGAATGTTTATTTCTGGGAAAGATTGTTCATTTTTTGGATAATCGGCGTATTAACTTGGTTAATCTATCATCGGAGTATTACCATGGCTAATCTATCATCGGAGTATTACCATGGTTAATCTAGTTTTATGATCAATTTTCATTTTGTCATTTGCACTCAATTTGTGTTAACATTTTTTATTGTTGGGTTTGAAAAGATTTATTCATTTTCTGTATCTCTCTTTTGTAATACTGTTCTTGTTGGATGTATATGCTTATTAACTGTAATCCATTTCGGAATAATTTATCTGTGTTTGTTTTCTATTCGAGGTTTACGTGGTTGCATTATCAGGATAATAATTAGGTTTCGGGTTTTTACCAACCACACTAGATGTTGGCATAATATTATACAATTGTCAAACCCCTTAGACTGGTTATAGCTGTTGTGTTAATCTTAAAATATGAAAATTTCTTGAATTTTTGTAAATATTCTGGCCGGATAGCTGAATATGTAACTCTTTGTTAGTTATTTCTAGTCAGTTAACAGCGTGATGCAATCAATTTACATTCTATGCTTATTTGGTTACTTTCGTATGCACTAATATGTAACTGGTTGTCCTAAAGGTTCAATATGCGGAAACACTGAGGCGTTTCAATGCTAGTGTCAATGAGAACAATCAACTGGATCTTGACATGGTTGGATTGCGAGAAAAGATCTTGAGTCTTTTCAATCTCCACCCTGATGCTAACATTACTATGACGTACATTGATGAAGATGGTGATGAAGTGACTCTTATTGATGATGGTGATCTGCATGACACGATGAGGCAGAAGCTCAAATTCTTGAAGATATTTGTACAGATTAACAATGATAAATCTGCCAAGTCAAGTGGAAGTTCTACTCCTTTGAGGTCCCCTCAAGGTCCACCTCCAGTACCAAATTTTGATGCTGGTGCAGCACTGAAGTCCCTGCCAGAGCCATTTCGGGAATTTGCTTCTAAGTTTCCTCTTGAATTGGCTTCAAAAGCTGCATCATCCAGTCCGGTGTTTACGGAGCTTGTTGACTGGTTTTCAAAGATGGGCCTATCGTACCTGATTCCAGATGCCCAGGTTCAGACCGAAGGAGATTCAGGCAAGCAGAGCGGTGCCTCTGGGAGTCACGTGGCTTCATCAGCTGCTGGTAATTCAAATGATCTGAAGGGTGATGGCAAGTCAAAACCCATCTTAAAGTCTGCAGCCGAGGAATCAAGCACCAAAAAAGGTCAGGCGACGGATTCTGTGAATGTGACCAAGGATGTGGGGATGTCTGATCCACCTCTTCATGCAACTGTTGATCTCAATTTCCTTCCTACTGATTCTTATCTATCAGGATCCACGCCTGTAAATGGTGCACCAGCTGGATCAAGTTTTCACACCAGTGATGCAAGGAAGGAGTCTAAGGAGCTTCCAAATGGTCTTCTCAATATTCAAAAGAAACTTCACAACAAGAAGCCTTTTGGTTGTGGTGCGTCAACAAGTTCAGCTTTCCTTGCGAGCCATATTAATGGTATGATTAGTAATCGTTTCAACGAATGTTCACTTACAGGGACTCCTATTGCAAATGACTCAGCTACTCCTGCTGCCTCTCGGCGTATTCCTTTCAAAAGAAATCACTCCAAAGCGATGGGTGGTATGTTCCACACAGGTGTTCAGTGTGATGGCTGTGATTGTCATCCAATTGTTGGACCTCGATTCAAGTCAATAGTGTAAGAATGGAACTTATCAAATCTCTGATGCTAAGTTGGTAATGAAACTTTGTTGAACTCTCAATATTGATGTTACGTTCTGTTTCTTTTCTGCAGGAAAGAAAATTATGACCTCTGTCAGATTTGTTTTGCAAGTAAGGGTAGTGCGACTGATTACATTAGGATTGACCAACCTATCTCTTATCGTCATCCACAGCCCTTCAAGGGGTTGTTTGAGCAAGTGTGTAGATCCCTTTGATACTTTTTTTTTTTTCTTTCCTTTAGATACCATATTTTATTTTTGTTATGAATTTGACCTTTCCTTTTCATCCTTAATGGCAGCCTCCATGGGTCGGCCCCCCAGTTATGCCAAAAATCTTGAGAGGTTTAAGTATGAACCCAGGCCACCCTAAGCTTGATAGCCACTTTGTATTGGATGTCAATGTAATGGATGGTACATTAATAGCCCCATCTACTCCATTTACCAAAATATGGCGGATGCGCAACAATGGTAGTATGGTGTGGCCTCAAGGAACAACACTTGTGTGGATTGGGGGTGACAGATTTAGCAATTCAGATTCAGTCGAGATAGAGGTGCCATGCTTTGACATTGTTCTGGAATTGTTTGAGTCATGTTTAATATTTACGTATTTGTTGCCTTTGCATATTTCGTGGGTTTTATGACACTTTCATTCATTTTTGTTTTAGTTCTTTTATTAGTGTTTTTCTTTTTTTTTTTTTGTCATTTTTTAATTTCATGATTCGTTATAGATTCCTGCGGATGGTGTGCCAGCTGAAAATGAACTCGATATTGCTGTTGATTTTACCGCGCCCGATTCACCTGGTCGCTACATCTCACACTGGAGGATGGCAACCCCGTCTGGCCAAAACTTTGGTCAACGTGTTTGGGTTCTGATCCAGGTATCTTCCTCATTACAAAGCAGATATAGTTGTGCTTTTTTGATGACCTCTATTTATTTATTTTTTGCTTTCAGGTGGATGTTTTCCGGAACAACTTTACGCTCTAATGCCAGTAACTAGACAAATCTTCTTATCCTTTATTCCCTTGTGCAGGTTGATGCTTCCTTGAAGGATTCATTCTTTGAGAGCTTTCAAGGTCTGAACTTGAATTTGCCCCCAAAAGAATATGAAAAAATGGATGCGAACGTTCAACCAGCTGCTGTCAGTGACTTTCTCCAGCCTTCTGCTTCTACCCCACTCAAGGAACCAGTGAAGCCCGTGCCTACTGAACAGCCTGGACATGACCAGGAGCTCCACTTCCCCATCAACGATAGCTTGCTGGTTGGCCACAGCCCCTCTGCCCCTACTGAGCCACAGGGTCCTTCAACTGTGTCGTACCCCACTGTTGAGCCACAGGGTCCTTCAACTGTGTCATATCCCACCTTTGACCCACCACAGGGTTCGACTGTGTCGTATCCCATGGTTGATATCTATGAATCAGCCCCGCCCTCCCCCAAATCACCACCTGTTGTCAATGCACTGGCATCATCTGAAGGGACCAGTTCAAACAATGCTGTGGAAGATACCATGCTGAAGGAGCTCGAGGCGATGGGGTTTAAGCAGGTCAATTTGAACAAGGAGATTCTGCGTAGGAACAACTACAACCTGGAGCAGTCTGTTGAAGATCTCTGCGAGGTTTTGGACTGGGATCCTATCCTTGAGGAGCTGCAGGAAATGGTAAGTTGCACAACCCGGCCTTGTCTAAATCTTGCCGGATAGTTCATCTCCAAATTTTCAGTGTTTTCTGAGTACGATGGCTTTGTGCAGGGTTTCTGTGATACCGAAATGAACAAGAAGCTGCTGGTGAAGAACAATGGAAGCATCAAGCGTGTGGTTATGGATCTGATCAACGGGGAGCCGCTTTAGATGGAAGACAACTACTTATAAATCCTGTTAATATAACCCTAGTTATATAAATACATATATGTGTGTGTGTGTGTCCGGAATAATGGGCTGGCATTTTGCCATATGCAATATGATGCTTTGATTGCTTTTGGGGACCTTGTGCATTGCTTTCTTATTATCTAATTATTTATTAAGTAAATTGGTACTGATATTTAAGTTATGGATTTAATGTAATCCAAGTTATTTATTCCTATCTCCCTTCACCTTTAATTTCTATATTTTTGGATGCCCCGCATGACTTTATTAATAGTTCCGTTAGATGCAGGCATCAGTATGGCACTATCTCAAACCGGTTAGATGCAGATATTAATATGACAGTATCTCAAACCGATGAAGCGTCATGGTGCAAGATAGCCTTGAGGGGCGTTTTTAGCATTGTGGTTGCATGCAGTGTCTCAAACCGATCAAGTGTCATGATGCAGGACAGGCTTCAGATACAGTCGTTCCCGCATTCCAGTTGTAAGACCAATGTCGGTGCCTTTGAAAATAAGGTGGAGTTGGTAACTTTGCACGGCAAATTGGACCGACTTATCCTGTAACGTTTATTTAGTCAATGACTGAAACGTTGCAAGTGATTTGGGAGAGAAAGGACAAAGACTTTTTGCTGCTTTGATGCTAAACTCTCCTTTCCCACCGTTCGCCTCTCGGCTTTTTCCCTTTTCTTGCCACATATTTTCCTTCTTTCTGAGGTGGTCTCGTTATAAGTTCTTATTAAAAATGAAACACTGCTCGACTCCTTACATATAACGGGTCAATGTTTGTTACTTACTTTAGACCGTATAGAACGCTTTTTTTTTTCGTTGAAAATTTTTAAATGTTCGATCATTCCATCTGAGTTGGGATGGCTACCAAAAAAATTTAGAATTATCTGAAGTCGGCTGAGAGTAGGTTAGATGACTAGCTGTGATTGAAGTGAAAGTACTCTTCTAATTGACTAGCTTTACTAGTTTACCCTCCATGTCGACAACATCGGTTTCCGTGTGCTGTTGATTAGTTTATGGCTCCCACGAGCTTAGGGTAAGTTGACGATTGACTTTTTAGATTATATTTTTGATAAATTAATAGCATAAACTTTCTAATTAATCGATTGACCTTTTACCGTTATATTTCAACCAATTTGTCGTTAATACATCCATGTATCAGCTAGAGCTATCAATTAAAATATGGCATGTATATTTAATTATTTAGTTGGTTGTCCTGGGTGACATGTAAGCAAAAATATTGGAAAGATTAATGCCCTTCAATTCGAGCGGATAGGGTCTATAAGCAAGGGGATAAATTGGCCACTTTACAAAAGTTTGGGTCTTTAATTTACCAAAAAATTTATTTAGAGGGTCAATTCAACTAAAGTGGTAGTTCGAAATGTCGGCAGTTTCTTCTGCCTATTTAACTACAACATGAGTTTGTTTGAAAATACTTTTAAAATGACTGAAAACGTTTTTATAATGTGTTTTTTTTTTTTTTTTTTGTAGAAAGCACTTCGAGTGATTTTTCAAAATTCACTTATATTTTTACTAACGATTAATTTCAAAAACACTTTCGTCAAAGCGCTTTGAGTCATTTTCAGGCAATATTCAACACTCCCCTCTGTCTCCTCTCGCTCTCTCCGCAAACACACACCCCCCACGTCCTTAAAAACATGATCTTTGGGCTCTCTCCCTTCCCATGATTCCATCTGCAGAACAAGATTGAAAGCACTGTGGCCCTAAGAGATTAATTATTCCCACAAATCCCGTTTATTTAGTCTCTATGATGGGGACCATGGAATTTTAATCAAACTAGTATATGTATGCAGCACTCTAGTTTTCACTTGGGGAAGTGCTTTTGCTAAGCTTCTGGTTTTGCCTTCTGAGGGATATTTTCTCACTTCCCCATAAAAATTTTCTAAGTAAAAAAAATAGCACTTTGGGCATTGAGCTTTTGCCTTGGGGCTTTTGCTGTCACAATCTCCTCTCTGGTAGGACATGTGGGGTTCCATGCTTTTGCCTCCCCCAAGGACATGTAAGTACTTCCTGTGAGTTTTATGAGCCTTGGGATGCTGCTTTTCCCTTTGTATCAGCTTATCCACTCACACAGAATCAATGAATGAATTAGCTTCTGAAAAAGTGCTTTTTGGCTTTTGGGTTTCTGATATTGTGTGATATGCATGTAGGGCTTTGAAGTTGGATTGTTGGGTTGTGTAGAAGGATGGAATCTGGGAGTAGGTTTTACTCAGCTGATGAGTTCAGATTGGATGCCAAATGGCTGATTGATCCTAAGCATCTCTTTGTTGGACCAAGAATTGGTGAGGGAGCTCATGCCAAAGTCTATGAGGGCAAGTAAGTTGTACAGCGTCACCCTCACTTCGCTTTCAATCTTTTGATTTTTCGAGTTTTCGATTTCTGCACTTGAATTCTTTGGTCTGCACTGGAGACCTTGTGTCTTGATTTGTGGCCAATGACATTTCTGCGGTTCGCCTTTTCGCTTCAGTTGATAGTAATGTTGGTTAGATTTGCAAGTTTTTGGCTCATCTTGTTTGGATTAGATGAACTACAATTGCTTTCTTGTGGAGATTATCAATACATTTTCTTGTTTTGCATTCTGAACTGTATTTTGGGTTTTGTTGAAAATTTAATCTGGTTTAATGGTTAGATTCAAATTTTGATAAGATCCCGGAAATGTTTAGGTTTTCAGTGAACTGTAGTTCTGTAGAAGTACCTGATGAATTTCTCTTGACGGCAAAAAATGAGTTTCTTAAGTGATTAGATTGCAGCTTGCAAGTAATTACGGTTCACTTTGGAGATTTGTTGTGCTGCAGTTATCTCACTTCTTTTGATTTCGGCCTTTTGGATTCGAATCAGATACAAAAACCAGACTGTTGCAATTAAAGTTGTTCATAGAGGAGAAACTCCAGAGGAGATTATCAAGAAAGAAGGACGGTTTGCCAGAGAGGTTGCAATGTTGTCGAGAGTTCAGCATAAAAATTTAGTGAAGGTTCGGTTTAATTGCCGTTGTTTAGTTGTTAAGTCATCGGTGACTGGTGACAATAGTTAGATTGTGCAGTTATGAATGTCAAATTGTTATGTGTCGACATCTGATAATTAATAAAGGTACGCTGCCTCTCAACAGTTTATTGGTGCCTGCAAGGAGCCAGTAATGGTAATAGTTACTGAGCTTTTATTAGGAGGTACATTGCGTAAATATTGTCTAAACATGCGGCCAAGGTGCTTGGACATACGCATTGCTGTTGGTTTCGCACTAGATATTGCGCGTGCGATGGAGTGCTTGCACTCTCATGGGATCATACACCGTGATTTGAAGCCTGGTAACTTTTCAGATCCCGTTTTAACTGCTTTGAATTCTATTAGTGTGAGTACTTAGATTCACAAACTGTTTCGGAACTGAATTGCGTATTCCACAACTTCTCTAATAATGTCTAACAAACTCTGATGTCTCTGGATGTCGTATTTATTTTCTGTAGTCAATATCTTGTGAGTTTTGTCTGCACTGTTCAATCACCCAACTTTCTTTTGGTATTAATGGTCATACGTTTAAGTTTCCGATTATGACTTGATACTAATTTTAGTAAGACGGCGCTTCAAGGAATGGTAGAAGATTTCATTAAGAATAGAACCCGAGGGGATCTAAACTGAGGGCTATACACCGCTTGTGGTCGGTTTAGTCCCTCTCCAATTCCATTTTTGAATAAATTCTACGTATCTAACAACGTTCTATGTAAGACTTATCTACCATTTGTATGATTTAGGTTTTCAAATATTACTTCTTGTTTACTTCATCTGCTTGCTTAATTTTTTGGGTGCAGAGAACTTGCTCTTGACTGCAGACCGCAAAACAGTTAAATTAGCGGATTTTGGGTTGGCGAGAGAGGAGTCATTAACAGAGATGATGACTGCAGAAACCGGGACATACCGTTGGATGGCTCCAGAGGTACTACTACCCCACTCCCCCCTCTTTCTCATGAACCATCACACTTGATAATACCTGCTTATTCGAGTTGATATTTCTTATGTTTGGGCAGTTGTACAGTACTGTTACATTAAGGCAGGGAGAGGGAAAGCATTACAGCCACAAAGTGGACGCGTATAGCTTCGCGATTGTTTTGTGGGAACTCTTACACAACAAATTGCCTTTCGAAGGCATGTCAAATCTCCAAGCAGCCTATGCAGCTGCTTTTAAAGTAAACATATCTTCCTCATCGATATATTTCCAATATCAATCATTCATTACGTTCGTTTTTTCTCCAATGTGCTTGTGGTGCTGCTAAATTTTCCTGATGATTTATTCGATACTTTTTGTTTCAGAATGTGAGGCCTAGTTCCGAAAACATCCCAGAGGAGTTGAACATCATCCTAACTTCGTGCTGGCAGGAGGACCCAAACGCCCGCCCTAATTTCAGCCAAATAATTCAAATGCTACTCGATTTTCTTTACGCCATATCTCCTCCTAAACCTGCCATTCTGCCACGGATATTCACTGAGAACAGAGTCCTGCTGCCAGAGTCTCCTGGTACAAGCGCCTTGATGTCAGCGCGTGAAGGCTTGGGGGAGACGCCCAAATTAGGAGAAATGGAAGACAAACCAAAAGGTTTTTTCTTCTGCTTTAACCAGTGTTATTGAGTAGTTGAAGAGAATGTCCATAACCTCCGTCCTTGGGGTCAATAATGTTAGGAGGGAAGATCGTAAACACTAGAATCTAGTTCGATTAAGTACATTTCGTTAACATGGTACGTGTTTAAGCTGATCAGTGTCGAATTTCATCAAGTGCAATTGTCAGATGAATACACCAATCTGTATCTGTCCAATATTCTGCTGGATTATGTCTATGTGTAGGATCTTAACCCCGTTTTGATAATCTTGAACATCTAGCAGCTAATACTTTCGAGTACGGTTTCTTTGTGATGCTTGCTGGATAAGAAATCCAACTTAAATTCTTCATTGAAAGCGGCTTCCATTTGCTCGGAAATTCTAAGCTGTTTAAACTTCACAAAAACGATTCAAACCTTGAATTAATGCCAACAGTATGTGTAAAAGCAACTGTTATGTTTCCGTAGATTCATCTGCGTGAGTTATTGCTCACTATTTTTGTGTAAAATTGCAACTGTTGAGAGCATTCACATAAAGGAAAATTTAACCAGAGCGAATTTCCGTCAGCCCGAACATCTCGCCTGTCACGCCGTTGAAGCGCCGGCAGAATCGCGTCAGATCAATATTGAACAAGAATTAGACAATAATGGTTGGTACATTAGTCATAATTCAAAAATATCTCAAATACAAAAGAGGCTGTGCAGTTCACCAATGGTCATTGCAAGAAACCCCCCCTTTGAAATGATGGAAGCGATTCCTATCCCTGACAATAATTTCTCTGTTAAATACCTTCGATATCATCTTCGTTGCGTTGTGACAGTCCGTACAGACTCTTAAGATTTTTTGATATTCCAAGTGTAGTTCCGGGAGCTGTTCTGATCAGACCGAACGCCATGGCCAGCTTCTCGCTGTGGTGGGATACCGAAGCTTCCTTATCTTCGTCCTCTGCATCTAGTCTTGCATCTGCTGTGTTTGGCACGTAGCTGGCTTCTTTAATCCATTTCATCATGTCGTGAGTTGCAATGTCATTTGATATCTAACTCGAGTGTGGAGTGTGGACATGCATTGTCTTCAGCGAAGAACTCATAAACAGCTCCATCCAACTCGATCATGCTACACACCCAGGAGCCTTCTCTATCCCCTTTTCTCTCATTTGATATCTAACCCGAAGAGCATCCTCAGTCCTGCCTACTGATGCATAAATGTTTGAGAGCAGAATGTACTCCCTGCTATGAGGGGTCTCGAATGTCGTTATGTGTTTCAATGATTCCTCACCAATTTCGACATTCTTCTGTTCTCTGCATGAAGCCAACAATGTCCTCCAAACCACAACATTTGGTTGGATAGGCATATTCTTGATGAACTGATATGCCTCTTCAATCAACCCAGCTCGACCCAAGATATCAACTCATGTGGGTAAAAAGATTTCGACCCTCATCAACCAGACCTGCGTGGCCCCAGGCAGAAAGAATGGCAATGAAAATCACGTCATTTGGCTTGATATTCTTTTCCTGCATCAATTGGAAGTATTCAAGCGCTCTCATGCCCTGTCCATTACTAGCAAGACCTTGAATTAGCACCGTCCAAGAGATAACGTTTACCATAGGCATCCTGTTAAATACTTCAATTGAACTATCAACGCACCCACATTTTGCATAGAAATCTATTAGTGTGGTTCCAAGGGTAACTGTGAGCTTCATTTTCTTCTTCTTTATATAAAACTCAACCCATTTTCAAGTTTCCAAAGCTCCGAGGACAGAACAGGACGAAAGCGCACTGACCAAGGTCACCTCATTGGGATCCACATTTGCCATCTGCATGTCATGAAACAGACCAAGCGCCTCCCTGCACCTATCTGCTTGGCTATAACCTGAAATCATGGCACTCCACGCAACATTATGTCTTCGATCCATTCGATCAAATAATCGTCTTGCAGTATCTACCTGACCACATTTTGCATACATATCAACCAGAGAAGTGACTAATGCAATGTTCCCCTTCAGCCCATTTGCTTCTATATACTCACCAATCCACTCTCCCAGCTCCAAATTGGCCAGTCTCCCACATGCTGTCAAAACGCTAATCAAAGTAACCTCATCAAACCCAACACCCAATTTTAACATTTCATCGAATCACGATATCTCCCCAACAACATTCGCTCCTCACGTAACCCCCCATCATCGAATTCCACGCCATTAGTGCCCTTTCGGGCAATCCATCAAACACCCGGCGGGCAACATCGAGCTCCCCACAACTTGCATACATAAGTATCATAGTGTTCTCAATGAACCCATTTACCTTAAACCCACATTTCACAATGTGGGCATGGATCTGTTCTCCTTCCCTCAATGCTCTTAGTCTTGAACAAGCTTTCAGTACACTATAAAACGTGAACTCATCGGGTTCAGCAGAGTTTTCGCGCATTTTCTTGAACAAAAGAATGGCCTCCAGAGGAGAATGCTGGTATATGAGGCTCCTTATCATGATGTTGCAGGCCAACGAATCGGGTTCGTCGACATTGTGAAAAATGGAGAGAGCATAGTCCATGGAGTTGGGAAGAAGAATGGCGGCGGATTCCAGGATGTTTTCTGTGATAGCGGGGTTGAGGAGGAGGCGGGTTTTGATGAGATGGGCATGGACTTGGTTGAGGTCTCTGGTGGTTCTGCATTGCTGAAGAATTAGGGTTTTGGGATTGTGTGGAAACTGGGGGATGGTAGTTACGACAGTTGTGGGTTTGGCGGGAGAGATGGGAAGGGTTGCTAGTGCCATTTTGTTCACTTTTGGGCTCTTTTTGAATGCCTTACGTGCTGTTTAAAAATTCCTACCTAGCGCCCCCTAGGCATTAGACGGCTGTCTACCGCCCTAATTAGTCTTTAGATGTTTGAAAATTAAGAAAGTACACCTAGACCCGCTTAAGCGTCCGTCTAGCCCACTTAGGTGTTTGCCTAGCCCGCCTAAACCCGTCTAGGCACCGAACTAAGTCGCAACTCTCACTTAGACAGAAAACCGATAACTTTCATTTTGCAATATGTTCTAATACTTTTATAATTTGTATGTTATTTCATTTTGCAATTAATGTATCACAATACAATTAGTCCTTCTAAGCCCCCCTAGCCACCTAGGTGCTAGGTCCTAGCTCACCGTCCAACTAGAGTCTAACATCTTTTAGAATCTTAGTCTTAAATTGCTAATAACATATGTAATAATTATATATTCGAGATATTTGCATGTTACGTTGTCAGATTAACTCCCGACTAGACGTTCAAACAAAATTCACTTAACCAATAGTTCATACTCTGAATAAAAATTGCGGATTATAAATATTGTAATGTAAAATCTAATTTAGTCTTGTATCGCCTCTCACCACGTGTTTGAAGGTCACTAGATACACAACATATCAGCCAACGATGGAGCTACTACAAGGTCATTATAGTCGGTTGATTCAAATAACTTGTATTTTCGTTCTATAGTCTTCCAGTAATTTATATTTTTTTTAAAGTGAGAAGTGTGGATGTAAATTTCTGCTTTCTTTGGATTGACAAATCTACATCTACAAAATAATAACACCTAAAATTAAGGTCAAAAGCCTCACGCGCCCATGATGAATGGGGGGCTTTGGCCGAAGAATCTCCGATGCCAAAGTTAGAATTTTGAAAAGAATGTGTAGAGTGTTTGTGGGAAGCAAAAAGCCTCTTTAGGGGTAGCTCAAACTTACTGAATTTTGGAGATAAATGGAGTATGTATAGGAGTAAAGGAGGAGATGGGCTGGCTCTCTAGGGTTTAGGGGTGGTCGGCCCTATGTGGTATTTTAGGTTAGAATATTCTATAATATTTGTGTAAATAAATATCTTGAAGTAATTAGGTAAATATCCTAAATAAATGGAATTATGATAACTTACTTGAAAAATATCTTCTTTAATTAGGAATATATTTATGATAAGTATAAATGATTATTCTATCATAAATATCCTTAACTTTTCTTACGGGTAGGGATGCCGTGAGCAATCGTTGATCTCTGCCAGCTCTACCTTAGTTATGCATGGTGAATGAAACTACTCCATGCTCATTTAATAGGGGCAGTCTTGTCTTAAGAAATAATTCACGTGTCAGCTCCATGATTTTTGAAATTATTTTTAGATCTACAAGAAGTGATCAAAGAAATGTATTTATATATTTTTTCTTTGTAGAAACCTTTTTACAACCCCTTTTCCACAAATTTCTGCTTCCTTCAGGTATCGTTTGGTATGCAAAAAGGACAGGACGGAACGGAATGGGACGGGACGGGATGGGACAGGACGGAACGGAACGGAGCGGGAGCAAAGATGCCCTCGGATGGAAACAAGGAGGAAGAAGAAGGAGACGGAGATGTTATAATTTTGTGTTCCACGGATGTGGAACGAGTCGTTCCAGGGGGGTGAGGTGAAATGAAAATTCACCCAAAACTCGTCCCGTGGAACAGCTCGTTTCACCCGTTTTAGGCGCACCAAACGTGGGACGGAATGCCTTGTCCCATTTTGTTCCGTCCCGTCCCACGTACCAAACGGTACCTCACTGCACATAGGAATATGAGCCTTTATAAAACTATGACATTCAACACCAAGCTGGAAACAGCTGTTGAGACCCATTAAAATATTATGCCAAGGAGATATGTAATTAACGTTCGAAAATAATCCTATTTCTGGCTGACCCTTTCCAGCAAATATTAGATTCATATGCTTGAATCAACTGTTGAATAGACAAAAAGAATGAGAACTAGATGCCATACCCTTTTTATTTGACAAGACGATAATCTAATTTATATAGAGAAAACATTGAACTCGAATGTAAGGAGGTCGGCACATTGGTTTGGTAAATTGGTTAAAACTACGTCAACATAGTTGGATTCCACCTATTTATTTGACAAGATGAAATTCTAATTTAGATAGATGGGAAATTCAAACTTTAGATAAAAGGGCCGATCGACATACTATTTTAACAAACTGACCTTACTCATGTCAGCAAACTAGATATATCACCCTTTTATTTGACCAAGATGATGATACTCTAATTTAAAAAAAAAGTTTGAACTCAAAGAAACGGGGCCGAAGGCAGGGCCATTCTTGACATTTTGGGAGCTTTGTGCAAATTTAATAAAAAGGTCCTCCTTATTATGAAAAAAAAAACTAATTTTTTGGACAATATATTTATACATAATTCAACAATCAATATTCAAACTTAATTAAAATCATTTTACTCTTAACAATTGAATAATCTACAATTTCCATGAAATTATGCTTTAGGGTTCATCCATGGAAAAAATGAGCAAGAGTGAAAGAGAGATACGAAAATACACGTGTTTGTGGAAGAAAGTAATACACAAGTTAGTTTTTTATTTTTAGAGAAAAGTGAAAGAAAGTAATACACAAAATTTTCTTTTAATTGCTAAAAAAAAATGGAAAAGGGTATAGGCTCCACTTAATCAAATGTAATATAAATAAAATCATATGATGATATTTTTTTTTTACAGTAAAAAAACTTATTTATTAAAAAACTTACTCATATGTAATATACAGGGTAGGAGGATGAAAAGTTTTTGGGGCTCTTTGAAATTTGAGGACATGTGCCAATGCACCTTTTACGCACCCCAACGCCGCTTCTGCCGACATATGATACCTTAAAAAACTAGCCTACCTCACGTCAGCAGAACTAGATGCCACCCTTATCATTTTAGAATAAAGGCCAAACCAATCTGCCTATAAATTGAAGCTTTTGCATTCTCCTAATGCTTCAAGTTCAACGTACCAGTGAATTTGTGATTGCAAAACAAAATGAGGAGAAGCTACGAGTACCCAAGTTACCCAACCACGCACGAAAATGGGCAAGACTATTACTCCCATGTGCATAGGTTGACAACAGCCCCTAGTGTCCTCACTGACGTCCCTCACCACCCTCATGGCCAAACCCTATGCAACAACCAGGCCCCTGGAAGAGAGAACTACGGCGGTCAGTACTACGAACAGTGTCAGCAGAAGCAGCACCACAACCCGGAAGTTCACAAGACGGTTGAAGTGACCGAGAGAGTCACGCAGTGCGATGCCAACGGGAATTGCGTTGTTTTTGAGGAAACCGTTGACGTTGATGAGGATGATTACAAGAAGCAGAAGCCCAAGGGGGTTGAGCTCTTCAAGTGGAGGATGTTCAAAGCGGGCTAAGGCGCCGAAGAATCCTTGACAAGGATGTTTGGCAGGCAGGCAAACATATGTTACTCGGTACTAATAAATAAAGTGCCTGTCCTTTTATCATGCTAAACTTCCTTAATCAGGCTCTTAATCTCAATAGGTTGCCATAATTGTCATGTGAAACGCATTTCACTTACTAAATAAACAAGTTATTATTATTAATTATTATTGTTAGTACTACTTTACCTATTGAAATAAGACTGCAGCAGCAGCAGCATGAGTGATATTTACTTGTGCAGCAAGTAAATGCGAAACACTTTGTGATGACTTTGAGAATTGACGGTAACAGAACTAATGCTAAATGCTAAAACCTTTGTGCTTTTGCGGTGAGACGGGCAAAAACATCTTATGAAATCCAGCTCTACCTCATGCCTTATGCCATCTGAAGAACTTAATTTGGTTCCCAACATAGTTTTGCAACTTTCATCATTCCAAAGTCAATCAAAAGATTCAAAACCAACTCTTGGTAACATCCGGCGACACGCTATTCACTTGCTAAAGTTACAACGTGCAGTACTAGTTTAGCTTAACACAAAGATTTTGATCGCCAACAAAGCACATGAATATTGAAAGACAACAATTATTTTCTTCACGCATACAGAAAAAAAGTGGTGTAAAAAACGTAGATAATATTCGAAGAAAACTATATATATATCGAGCTGTAATTCGCACTAACAAGAACGATAACGCTGCAAAAAATCAAGAAGGACCCGAATTACGTATCCTCATCAGGTGGCATATCTGCCTCATCAAATCTCCTTGAAAACATTGTATTGAAAAAACTTCTAAGACTGTGCTTGCTCTCCCTACGTTTCCGATGGACTCGAGCCGAACTCTCCAACTCATCAAGGACTAGACCCGTCTCTAACCTTTTCGACATGGCAACAATCTCATAAGCATCCCATAGTGACTGCCCAAAATCCCATTTTTCATAACCACTCTGATGTGCACTAGCTGATGATGATTTTCTCATTGCTTCAAGCTTGAACCGGGACGGTGACTTACCTTTGTAGTTTCTCCGGCGGGCATCAAATTCGGACATGGGCTGGGAGTTGCCGGAGTGGCTGTACCAAGCTTGTGCCACAGCCTTGATGATTTCAAGTTCTCTGTCGACATCTTCAAGCTGTAAATTTTGCTTCATGGTGAGTTGTCTTTGTTATCTAACGACGTCTTGTATGTGCCATGTTATCTTTTGGGCAACCTAGAACCTCACAAGTCACAATTGGTACTACGTAAACGAGATATAAGTTAGGCAACCATATCCTTTTTGTGGGCATAAGAATTTTGTCTTTCACAAGCATGTGAGGTAAGCACATAATGGGCAAATGGGCAAATGGGCTGGGCTAGTCCCCATTTCTGACGTTGCAAAATAAATTGAAGGGAATAGCGAGAATTAAACTTTTGTTATAATTTATAAAATTGAGTTTAAATTAGTATTCATGTTAAACCCTAACCTAACCCAAGTGAGCTTAAACTCGATTGAAATACAAATTGCATTGACTATAATGTGCTGTTATAATTTTTCCCTATGTAAGCAAGAAACATCTTAGCAAAACAAAGACAATTAGCATGACATTTTGTTGCAGAAATGATTATTTTTTTTATTTACAACCGCACAACGATCGCACTACAATGACATAACACCTGATAATTTCTGCAACCAAATGTCAAAAACTGATTATTTGTGCTAATTGCCCCTTAAAAACATGTAAGTCATAAAATAAAATATTGGGGGTTGTTTTATTGACACTCTATGTCACATCCCGGTCTCCCGCCTTGAGGATATTGTCCGCTTTGGCATTCCTGGCCTGGACTAGGTCGCAGACACCAGGCTACCGCACGGTTTTGTTCTTGTGGCCGAGTGTTAGTCCGCAGACCACATCTCCCACCACAAAAGGCCTCCTCTAAGGGTACCACCAGGCATGTACATATAAGGCCCAAAGACCAAGCCCTCACGGGCGATGTGGGATACTACACTCTACAATTGTTGACTACACCTCATTTAAATTTTAAACATTAAATAACTTATTTGTTATAATATAAAATGACTATTTAAGCGTGGATATTTTTTAAATAAAACTTTAATCTCTAAATACACCCCTCGAATCCAATGTGAGAAAATATGATGTTTACGGAAAAAGCACTAAGACGATGTTTCTCCAACCCACCAAGAAATATATGGTGGCATTGGTTTGCAGTCTGATAACATAGGTTTATTACCATTTTCTACTGCAAACTAGCCAACGATGATCACTTAGACATTGCCAAAAATTCGTTGATCAGCAACAAATGATTATCTCTTGATAGAACCCTAAAACCCCAAATTTGATTAAACCTGAAAACTCCAAATTTTCTTTTCATATGAAACGATCTGAAACACACCCAAATTGAAACAGCAGTAGTGATGTGCATAAAAGATGACCTTGTGAAGACAAGAATTATGTGTTTTGTGAAACTCTTCGACCAACTTTCTTTGAACAAATAATATTACCTACATTAAGGGGGAGGGTGGACTTAGCCTCACAATGGGCTAGCAATAATATGGTTCAAACTCGCCTTTAGCAAAAATTGAACCTAAGACTTCTCACTTACAAATGAAAAGAAATATCATTAGATCGTAATACTAAGTGGCAACTCTTCGAATAACTTGAACGAGGTTTTTGGATGTGTGTGGTGCGAGAGCATTTTGGAAAGTTAAAAATGGGTTATTAAAATAACTTTTCATTCAAAAAATAAATACGAGGTGTTTTCATTATGTAGGGTGTGGTTAACAATTTGTGGGTATTATTAGAAAATCCAAAAATTATTTATGAAAAACCTTCTTTTTTATTTTTTATTTTTGAACAATATTTTCTACACTAAGGGATAGATGAATGAGCTAAGCTTCACCCTACAATGGATTAGTCATAATAATGTGGTTCAAATTTGCATTTGACGACAATCGAATTTAAGAGCTGTCACCTACAAGTGAAGAAGAATATCACTAATTGTAGTACTAAGTGGCTCATGACAGATAATTTTAGGAGAAGGAAAAATGTATAATACACATGAGCTCGTTTATAAGTGCTTTTAAAATTACTAAAAACGTTTTTATGAAAATATTTTTAGAGTCAATGCTTAGTAAAATGCAAAGAAACCTTGAAAAAACATTTGAAATGTTTCATGCTGAAAGCACGTAATTAATACTTTTTGGAGGAAAATATTTTTGAAACTCAACACACTTTTACAAAAGCCTTTTCAGTTATATTCCTTCAAATTTTCCCGCTCATTTGTAAGAACAAGTTCCCAGATTTCTGTTCGGCTCTAGGGTTTGGCTCATCTCCTCCATTCTCCAAGCTGCTTGCAATTCTCCGATGCTTTCCACTTCATAGTCCCCTTAAACCCTAAACCCCCAAAAAATGAGCGCTTCCAGTTCCATGGACGTCTCTATGCAAAGCCCCAAAGACGTCGATGTCCCCAACCAAAACGGCGCCGTGGCAATAGACTCAGCTCCTTCTCCCATTCTTCCCCAAGACAAAGTTCTCGTTTCAGGTGCGTAAGGCGTCGTTTTTTACTTCGATTCGTTGTTGTTCTTAGTTTTTGAGCTTCAATTTTGTTTCAATTTGAGGCTGTGCTGACGATTTAGTTGTAAATTTACTTTCTTTAAAAGAAATTGATTGTGGGTTTCAGTTGAAGTCAGCCTCAAGCCCTCCAGCACAGCTCGGGCTGACGATGTGCGGTCTGCTGTAGAGAGGTGTGCTGTTAAACTCGTTTATTTAACTATTACGTTGTGATTTTTCGGTTGTTTCTCAATTGGATCTTATGTGTTTGATGAAATGCCTGCTTAGCTTAACAGTTTTGAAGAGTTCGACGATGAGAGATTAGGATTAACATAATGTGGTTTGAATTCGGTTTCTTTTTTCTCTTCCTCAAATGCTTAGAATGCTTGAAAAGAGGAGTCTGAGCTACACTGACGGACCTGTGCCTGTGCCGCTTGATGATCAGTTTCTAACAGAAAATGTGCAAAGTATCTGTATTTGTGACACGGGTATCCTCCTTTATCTTTGAACTAGTCACGGAGGGTTACGAAAAGTTTTGAAGGCAAAGTGAAGAAATTATGAAACTTGATGATCAGCTATAGTCAATACTGCAAATTTTCATCTGAAAAAATGGAAATCTTACTGCAAAAATTTCTAATACTTTACGGACTGCATAAAGGAGGTTGAGGATGCAAGTTTAAGTTGTAGCCAGTTCTGATGCTGGAACTGTTTTTTTTTTTTTGTTTTTTTTTGTAGATGAGTGGGTGCAAAACCATGACATCCTTTTGTTCTGGCAAGTGAAGCCTGTTGTGCATGTTTTTCAGGTAATAGGTCTACGGGCTGAACTACTTTGGGACTCGATATCTATTTAAGTGTTAATCTCTTGCTTCTATGTGCTTTGTCAGCTTAGCGAAGAGGGAGCATGTGAGGATGTAAGTGGGGATGGACAACCTTCCACCTTCAACGAATGGATTCTTCCTGCAAAGGAATTCGATGGCTTGTGGGAAAGGTTGATTTTCAGCTTCTCTAATTTTCTCTACATTAGTACTTTGAAATGAACTGATTGTGACGTGCTCTCACTTTTGCAGTTTAATTTATGAATCTGGTCTCAAGCAAAGGTTGCTGCGGTATGCGGCTAGTGCATTGCTTTTCACTGAGAAGGGCGTCAATCCTTTCCTTGTGTCATGGAATCGGTAAGGAAATGTTGCTGATTTTGTGTATGCACACATATGCTTGTAACTTTTATGATTACTGAGGAATTTCTGTTCAGCACCCCGTATGATTGTTCTTGTCCCATTGCAGCATTGTTCTTTTACACGGACCTCCAGGGACTGGAAAAACTTCTCTATGTAAAGCACTGGCTCAAAAACTATCCATTCGGTTTAACTCCAGGTTTGTTCATGATGTACTGTCTTGTTCATATGGGCATATGTTTCCTGGATGGATTTGCATGTGAATAGATTGGAACACTCATTATTTTATACTTTACAGATACCCACAATGCCAGTTGATTGAAGTTAATGCACATTCTTTGTTCAGTAAATGGTTCTCTGAGAGTGGCAAGTTGGTATGTAGTTGAATTAAGTCTTGAAAGATGCTTTTGCTCTTTGTAAACAAGAGTTGGATTTGGTACACCAAGTTCTCTGTTTTCATTAACATATTTCTCAATCTTAGGTTGCAAAGCTTTTCTCAAAAATTCAGGAGATGGTAGAGGAGGAAAGCAATCTGGTATTTGTTTTGATTGGTGAGATTTATTTTCATTGTGAGTTTTCATCCAATAATCTTTCTTCCATCTGGATTATAATTTATGAATGTATGGTGATGTTGCAGATGAAGTCGAAAGCCTTGCTGCTGCTAGAAAAGCTGCTTTATCTGGCTCCGAACCTTCAGATTCTATTCGGGTACCCTACTTTCTCCTTTATCCTATTCCAGACTACTTTCTAAGCTTTTTGGTTGAACATAATGCAGATATTTTACTTTTTACATTTTAGATACAGTTCAGAATATCTCTGTTTGAGTCCAAATAACCTCAACATTGACATACCAGGTAGTGAATGCGCTGCTAACTCAGCTGGATAAATTGAAATCAGCACCAAATGTTATAATTCTGACAACATCCAACATAACTGCTGCTATTGGTAAGGCTACAAATCAATTTCCTAACATGTTAAATGAACTTCTCTAGGTTTGCTTGCCATTTTCATATGTAAATTGGAGTGGTAAACTGTGGTTTGCAAAGAGTTAATGTACTTTTTGCCCTATATTAAACTGTTTAGTCTCTATCTGGTTCGCTAATACTAAAAGTCTCTCTCGAAGTCCCGAGCTCTCTGTGGTTCTGACAAGCTAGAGAAAGAGAAATACTTTATTTTCTCTGTGGAAGGGGAAAAAAAAAAATAACTTTCACCATCCTAGTATGTATGAATTTACCATTTCTTGGATTGCAGATATTGCGTTTGTTGATCGAGCTGATATCAAAGCATATGTTGGTCCCCCAACTTTGCAAGCGCGTTATGAAATCCTCAGATCCTGCTTGCATGAACTTATACGAACAGGAATTTTATCACATCTAGAGGTGCATTCGTCTGTCTAACCTTGCTCTGATATGTTTGAAAGTTCCAAGCCGAATTCCTAATGAATTTGTAAATTGTAGGATTGTGATAGCATGCTTTCTAACTTTGCTAGCTTGAGAGAGAAACTGAATATGCCTGAGGTACAAGATGCCCAGACACCACTACACCTGTGTAAACAATTGTTCGAAACTGCAGAAGCATGCGAGGTCAGGAACAGATTCTTGAATGTCTTCTAAAGTTGTAAGTTAGGCCTTTTTCAATCTATCTGATAATTGATTTCGTCTCTGGTTTCTTTAGGGATTGAGTGGGCGATCTTTAAGAAAGCTTCCGTTCCTAGCACATGCGGCTCTTGCAAATCCTTATGGTTGTGACCCTAGCAAGTTCTTGAGTACAATGACAGATACGGCTAGGAGGGAGCGTTCTGAGCTACCTGACTGAACTGAATAGTTTTCACATCTTGTGACCCATGTATTTTTACGCTTACTGCAAACGATGACATTAGTAGCTTCCATTTGTGATGAAGATAATTCATACAAGAATCTGTACCAAAAAACAAATCGGAAAAAAACAGGCAAGGTTCGAGTTCTTGGCACAAGACAGGTGATCGATTCGGTGTAGACGACAATCTTGTCTGGAAAACTTAGTTGATTCATTAGATTTTAAGAACATTGTATGGTAGGCTTGAAAAATGAGTAGAGGTTACAAAACTCATGGGTTTAACCATGAAATTACAACAAGAAACTATCTGTGTACAAGTCAAGTATTAGTCCGCTTCTGCTTGCCTTCGGTAGTAGTCTGCTTCCGCTTGCCTTCCTTACTAGTTTGCTTCTGCTTGCCTCCATCTTCTGTAGTATTCCGCTTCTGCTTGCCTTCCCTAGAACCAAAAAGCTTGCAAATTTCACCATGCATTCGAATATGATGAGGGCATTTATGAAGCAGATCTTTGGCCTCGGTGTATCTACCTTCCTTAAAGAATGCTTTCAAAACATGGACATACGCTGCAGATGATTGATGTTCCTTAACAGTCAATGCCTTGAAAAAGTCTGCAGCATCCTCCACAGAACCAGACTTCGATATATATTGGACGAAAGGCTCTGGATAAGGTGGGTAGTTCTGTTTCTTCATCAAATGAAGAAGTTCGAATGCTTCTTTGAGTTTTCTGACCTCTAACAAATTTTCGATAAGATTTTTGTATGTGGCTTGCCAAGGTACTAAACGAGCTTTTTTCACCATTTCGCCAAGCAGTTTATATGCACCATCTATCTTCCTCTGCCTAAGGAACCCCTCTATCAACACGTCCATCAGATCAGCATCCGCATCACATCCTTTTTCCATCATCTTTGCGAAACAAATCAGCGCTGTGTCAACTTCATCAGCAGCGCAATGCCCTTGAATCAAAATGGTCCAAGTCTTGATATCAGGGACGTGTCCGTCTGCTTCCATTTCTTCCAACACATTGCAGGCTTCTTCAAGTCTCTTGTCCTTACAAAGTCCAAAGACCAATTGGCTGTATGTAATGTTGTCCGGCTCGTACCCTGCATTTCTCATAACCTTCATAATTTCCTCTGCTTCATCAAATCGTCCTGCGCCTGTCAAAGACCTGTGAATCCCATCGTAAACAGGCTTGGAGAGTGTATTCCCTGCAGACTCGAACTTCTTTGCAACTCTAAAAACCATATCCAGATCCGGTTTATCACTCCCTGAGATGCTCCTTAAAAGCATGCTGCAATCCTGAGTAGAAGGTTTATAAGGGCCGTCCATCATGAGCTCATACAGCTTCACCGCGTCCTCCATCATCCTGCTCTTCTGAAACTGCCGCGTAATCTTTATGTAAGTGTCCAAATCCAGCTCATGACCTGCAGCCTTCATCTCCTCAATCATACTCCAAAACTCCCCTATCGAATCAGCCCACGCAAGTACCCTCGCAACCGCATTGTATGTAATCGTATTGTGTTCATAACCGGAACACTGACCAACCCAATGGAAAAACCTCAAGGCCTTCAACGGGCGAGTCCTGAGTTCCTTCAGTACCCTAATGACAAAATGATCTGATAACTCAAGTTCGATCTCCCCCAATTCTTTCTCAACCCCATCACTCCACTCTGACCCCGAAACAACATCCACCACGCTCTTCACAACATCATCCGCCGCGTTATCTTCGATCATCCTCTCGTAAAAATGCTTGAAAGCCACGACATCACTATCCATCCTCCCCTTTTTCAACAGCTCTCTAATCGCCACATAAGTTTGCGCATCAATGAAAAATCCCTGCTCTTTCATATTCCTCAGAGCAATCCAAAACTCCTTCATCGAATTCTTATGCACTAAAACCCTAAGAATTAAGCTAAACACCGAAGAACTTGGCCTAAATCCGTCTTTCTCGCAGACCCAATTGAAAAAATCCCAAGCTTTTCGTGGGTCTTTGTCCAATTTCTTCAAAACATAGATTACTACATCGTGGGTCAGTGATGGGCACGACTCCGACAACTCGGTCTCCAACTCGGCGGACCACTTGTTGGCCAGAACGAGTTGCAGAACCGAGTTGGGGGTCGAGGAAAAGAATAGCTTTTGATGGGTGTTGACGAAGTGGGATTGATTTGAAAGGAAGTCAGAGAGGTGAGAGGACCGAGTCACCTGAGAATAAAGCAGCGGAGCTATGACGTCGAACCGAGTCGCCGCGAGTGAGCTGGCGAATCGGCAGGTAGTGAGAAACGCCGCCTTTGCTCGATTCATGGCTGCTAAACTTCTAACTGAGACAACCAGCAGAGACGTTGATATGGACTAGGGGATTTCCAGGGTTTAAGCATTTTTCGGGTCAACCCGAATGTAATTGGGTCAAATGTGGACTTGCGGTTTGTTTTCTCTTGGGTCATATGTTTATAGGCCTAAATGGGAACCTATGGGCTTTTTCACACCTTCTGCGACCCATGTACTATAATTTAAATAATAGGGTGAACTGCTAATTTAGTTTTTAAATACTCACCTGATTGAAAATTAGATTCCTAAACTTTTTATTTTCTTCAGAAAAATCAGTCGTTGAATTATAAAAATCTGCCAATTACATCCCTAATATTATATTTGAAGCTACTATATTTAACTTTCCGTCAATTTAAGTTACATTACTTGTTTGTGATCCACATTGGAGAGTAGGTTGGTAATTTTTCATAGAAAAATAGTGTATGGAGTTAACCTTGGAGGGTAAATTAGACGTTAGATTCGCAACCTATATGAAATGTTAAGGGCTTATAGGCGAGAAAATGACGGTATTACATTGTAAAGTGTGTCAATGACTTAAGTTGAAGAAAAATTGGATAAAATAGCTTTGAATATAATAGAAAGGATGAAAATAGCAATTTTTAACGAGTTCAGGGACTTATTTTACTGAAAAAATAATTTAGGAACCTAATTTTCACTGAGGTGATAGTTTAGGGACTAAATTGGCACTTCACCAATAATAATATAATGTCAGGTCTAAACTAGTCCTGCTACATTGGTACTACTCAATGATACAAGTAATTTATTCATTCAACCTTAGTGTCAATATATTGTGGATTCAAACTTGTTATTCACAATATTCGAATTTAAAACCTTTCAATTACAAATAAAGAAAAATATTATTCAATAGTAGTACTAAGACTATCTCCAATATAGACGTCAAATTAAAATGGCAAATTTTATTTTAGCTGATGTGGCAAAATAACAGTTTGCCAGATCTCCTATTCCAACTGAAATGTCAAATTAAAATGTTTTTTTTAATATTTATAAAATCAAGGGGGTCGAAAATTTACTAATAAAATAATCAATAAGTAAAAATAAATAAATAAATACATGGGCCAAACATTAAAATAAAAAAATATATATATTTTGACGTTGCTTTCGAATTTGGCAGCAAAGTAAAGAATGTCAATCCATATAGGACTTAGATATTTTCTTTGAAACTAGAAAACCATCTTTTTATTTCTCAAAACAATCTACGTAAGTGTTTTAACATCTTCTTTGAAAATGTAGTATGATGAAATGATTTTAAGTTTAAGTGATTAATTATTTGTGTAATTTCATGGACCCCAACTTCATTTCCTTTCACGCGAATTTGGTGTCGGTCCACAAAAGTGAACGGGAACCCGCCCTTCTCCCTCAACGGGCGTGCGAGGAAGTTCTGCAAAGCCTGGTGCACGTGTCGATTTATTACAGGAGAGAATGGGAAGGTGGAACAGGGGAAAGGATTGAGTAGAGAGCTTACGCAACATAACAACGGTGGTCCTTTATTCGTTTTCAATGGCAATATATTGATTGTTTATTATTCACTATTCTTTTGCCAGTTATGGTTGTAGAATATTAGGGTTCTATGAACAGTCGAGCGGAAATCCTGTTAAGAAGGGGTTCGTTTTTGTATATATGGTTATCAAAAATGAGTTTATGGTTTTATACCAATAGTTCATCTCCGTTAAGGTTAATTAATTTGCTGTTGCATTTATCGACGTTATATCAACAATTTTATCAATAGGGATGACAATTCTAACTGTTAAACCTGATAACTGTGGATAACCGCCATAATGGATTAGATTTGGATATGAAAATTCGGGTATATTTTGGATATGGGAAAATGCCATGAATAATATTCGGTTATGGTTTTGCATATGGTTATAGGGGTCTTCAATCCGTATCCATCCCTGAATCCAAACCAAATTATATATATATATATATATATATATATATATATTATTCACTGAATCCACTACCTTAGAATACAAAAGTTGCCCTGTGTGAGTTGCATTTTGTGGACCAGTTAAAAAGTTTTGATATGAATCAAAATCTATGAGAATTCAGACCAATAATACTTATAGGAGATATCAAAGATCAGCCCACATTATCAATGTTTAGCTTTAATTTTTATGCTCCACAAGATCCATTCATTAAATCATTTTATACCTCAAATACTTAATGACGAAATTAATATTGACTAAATTATCATGCGTCAATTAAACGAATATATTTTTTGTATTAACGAAGATAGGTATAATTGTTAACCATTGGAGAATCTGTTACCCGATGAGTATAGTTATGGATAATACCTAATGGTTAATTGACGGTTATGAATATGGTTAATTTTCGTGGTTATGAGGATGGATATAACATTTTCGTCCCCAAATCGAACCGTTGCTATCCCTACTTATCAACTATAAAATTGTTATATTCGTCAATATTGACGACATAGTTACACTTAATAAAATGCAGTTAACCCCTCATCACAAAAATTCTTATATTGATATAGTGTAGGTTGAGAAAGAAGGTGGATGTTAACGATCAATTTGCACATGATGAGGCATAATTAGTTTTGGTCTAAATGCGTGTTAATCAAGTTTAGATGTTGAAACCAGCTTGATCCAACTACGTAAATTTCTGATATTTGTAACTTAATCTCATAAGGTTTTGAAAATAACAAAGTAAATCTAAATCAAACCATACACAAAAGCATATGAAAGGCAACCAAAAAGAAAATTATAATCCTTTTGGATACGAGCCGACCAAAAGATAAAAGAGAGGAGCCAAAAATTCAAACACCATAAATTATACATGGATAAGGACCCTTTTTTCAAGGGTTAAGGAGCTAGCTAGCCCCACCTTTGCGGCACCGATATCTCTATCATGCTTTAAGTTTGCTACTTTGCTTTGCCTTCACAAAAATGTAAACCTTTGCTACTTTGCTTTGCCTTCACAAAAATGTAAACCCTTAAAATTGAACACACAGATACACATTTGCCTCCACAGTCCACTCCACTGTGTGAGTGTGTCGTCTTCACTTTTTGTTCCTTTTTCCTTGTGGAAACGTGCCCTCTAGCACTGTTCATTAAAAAGAGAAATCCTGCATGCGGGAATATAAGAGTAGTTCTCCACACTTCCACAGTCCACACTATGTGTGCTTATTTCACCCCTCTCTCTCTGTGCAATATAAAGCTATATATATCTGTACCATGTTACCGTATTCTGTGAGTTACTCTAACTCTGATGCTTTCCCTCTCTCACTCCCTCAACTGCATATCTTCTCTCTCATGATCACGATCGATGTGGGAATTGTTTCTGAAATATATGGCGGTCCAGTGCAGTGGAAGCAAACTAGGGTTTCTCCTCAGTTTCAATTTCAAGAGATATACATGGGTGTTTCTTGGAACTGCCATTTAAAGAAGTTTGGGGTATCTCCAAGTCCAACCCAAGAATGATACACTGATGATGGATATATAGCATCCATTAATGGAGGAATGAAGCTCTCCTGGTCCGATCGATCACTTTTTTTTTTCCCTTTAATCTCCTTTATTTATTTATTTTCATCTTTTTTCAGTTTTAGTTCTCAATTATATATTTCTGTTTTTTTAGTAAATGGATGCAGCAAATATATCATGTTGCTGTCTTGTTCTCATTGCCTTGATGCTTGTAAGACTTGTATTGTAATTGTAGTATGTGTTTTGAAAGCGTGAATATATGATTTTTTTAGTATCCAGTACTCATAGAGATTTTATATATATATATATATATATATGTTTTAATTTGTCAATTTTGAAGACATTCATCTCCATCTGCATTACCAGAGCCATCAGTTATAGAACTGTATATTATTTTGAATATGCTTTCAGTGCTTATATATTTATACACCCACACGCACATGTATATATGAGAACAGCTAAGCTTCGCCATGCATCGTTCAGTTTTTCATCTGAAAATTCTTTACATTTGGAGAAGGCTTTAAGTTTTTCTCTATGTGACGTTAACATTGTTTCATTGACTCAAAACACCATAATATATAACGATGTACTTGCCCTATACAACTTGCTCTCCTATATTTTGGGGATAAATAATTTCTGCCATTATATGCTGATTTACCATAATGGTTGGCGCTGTCTCGATCTCTTTCAGAAACTTTGACCAACTACTGAATTTCGGTTCTACACCAAACACACAAATTGAGAGCATTACTGTGATCCCCACACACACACACACACACACACACATACGTACATACATACATACATACATACATATATATATATATATATATATGATAACATTTTCATTTTCTTTCAAATTCTTTCATTTTCTTTCTATAACTGATGTTTTGTGTCAAGTGTGTATTATACTGATCCATAGGTGGGTATATATTTTCCAGCTATATGTGTGTGTATCTATCATCAGATCTTCTTCTCAGCTTAAAGCACAATCTAAGTTTTCTTGAGTACTATAATCATTCATCTTTCCTTACTTTTTTATTAGCTCAATGATGGTAATGAGAGAGTCAATTTGGCCCTGGGCCATAGCTAGGTTATTACAAGGAATGAGGACTGAGGAGGAATCATTATGTCATAAAACCTGGGAGAAATATTATTGTAATTGTCAAGATTTCAGATAAATGGGTTATCGGCGTACTATCAATCACATAGATATCATTTTCAAACTTGTATCTTATCATCTGAACGGCATAGCAGATGTGAAACCACACAATATAACTCACATATAGTGTTCTCAGTCTTCCGAAGAAGAATTCTTGTATTCTTCAACAACATTCTCATTCCCATTCCCCACCAATATATGGCTCTAAACTCATAAAGGTATTTAGCTTGACCTTGTGTCAGTCCCACTCTTTTTGATATCGTAAAAGTTTGAACATGGAGGCAGCAGATCAAGGGACAATTAACATATCTATATCTTCATTGGTCTATGCAAGAGATTCTCTCTTTATGCAAGCTTGGTGTTAACAAATTATCAGACATAAATCCA